GCACGAAAATCCAACTATGAACATCCTCGCAATATGCGACTTAGACATGATGTTCACATATATTTATATTGGTATTCCAGGATCTACACACGATGCAAAAGTGCTCTCGCTTGCCATGGAAGCTGATCCTAATTTTTCAAGTCCACCGGAAGGTAAATATTGTTTTGGAGATTCAGGCTATGCATTACGTCGTGGGTATCTATGTCCATATAGAGGAGATCGATATCACCTATCTCGATTCCGAAACCAGTCTGAAGAAAGAAACTATAGAGAATTGTTTAATCGTCGTCATTCATCATTTCGATCTTTTATTGAGAAAACATTTGGAGTATGGAAAGGAAAATGACGAGTTGTAAAAAATGAAGCGAGATATAATCTTTCAACGATGAGAAAAATTGTGGTGGCTACAATGGCTCTCCATAATTTTATTCGCAAGTCACATATTGAAGATCTTGATGTTCAAATAGAAGAAGAACATGCCCCAGATGAGGAAGAACTTCCAAATGCGATAGAACAAGACATTACTTCGAGAGAATACATGGAAGGTGTTCGTGATGAGATTGCTAATGCTATGTGGGCTAGTCGTCGATAAATATTTTATTTGGATTAGTTTATATTCTCATTTTTTTTTATTTCTTATTGATTTTGTTTTGATTTTTTTTTTTTGATATTGTCGCACTATTTCAAAATTTCAACTACATTCTTCATTTCATTACTGATGGTAAATATTCAACAAAAATATGTATATCAACGTAAAGATTTAGAATGATATATCTTTCCTTTTTTAAAAGACAAAAATTGGCTACTATTTTTAGGCTGTAAATTAGTCTATTGTTATTGACTAGATTTTTTTACACATTCAAGATTTTTTTTCTTTTTTTTTTTGATAACGATCAAGATTTTGTTATTGACGTGAAACAATCAAATGACCACCACCGCATACTAAGCAATCAAACATTATTTTTAGGTTCAATAGATTTTGTTATAAATACTATGGCAGTATATATATTCTTTGAAAGCAGGATAAGAAAAATTGAACACACAAATAGTTTCGATATGGCATCATCATCATCTTCGAGTAAGATTAAGGTATAGCATTCATGATTTAATCTATTAATTTTTTTAGTTGCTTCATGAGTATTTTATTGCTAGTATAGATTATAATTTCTTTTAATTAAGAAAATTGATTGTTTAAATGTGTTCTAACTTTTCAGAAATTTAAATGGTCAGACAAGACAACATCCATATTTCTTCAATATCTGATTATGGAGAAACAAAATCAGGGTAGCACAAATGGAAGATTAATATTAAGTCCTATCCAGAAAAAAAATATATATTATTCTGAATATTAACGATCGATTTGGAGTTAATTTGGAGTGGAAACAAATGAAACACCGTTTAGATGTTTTGAAGAAGCAGTTCAACATGTATTATAAAGATCTCGAAACTCTACCACTTCACCCAAGTTTTTATAAATTTGTCCCACTTCTTACCGATATTTTTGGGTATTAAATTTCGGCTGAAATAATAAATCTGAATAAATTTATTCATTTAGAATATTTATATCTATATATACATTTTTGGAGTACACTTAGCAAATAAATCCTAGAGTTGCTAAGTATTTACGAGTCCATGCCATTGGCATTTATTATTACTTTTACAAAATTTAAATAAAAGATATTAACCAAACAATATCTTGCCTAATTTGTTTCTAAAAATCTCTACACAATCTTTCCATATATCTTCAAAAAACATTTATAGCAAATATTTATATTAACATTTTGCATAGCAATAAAAATACTAATTTATAATAATCAAAATATTCACATAGAAAAATCATAAGGAAAAAAAACTATATCTATCATCATTTTGCATAGCAATAAAAATACTAATTTATAATAATCAAAATATTCACATAGAAAAATCATATACACATAGAGGAAAAAAAACTATATCTATCATCATTTAAGCCGTTGCTTTATTTAAATTAAAAAAAAACACAAAAACTTGAAATCATATACTTTATATGATAAATTTAAAATATATATTAGTAGTATAAATTTAAAATTGTTCAAAAAACGGTACACCACGGGTGAGATCCTAAAATTATTAGATTTTATAACAATAATCGTTTATTTTCTTGGATTTTATAACACTAATAATTTAGCTAACGAGATAATATAGACGGGTTTATATGGAATGACGGGTTTGGGTCGATATTAATAAAAAAGGTACATCACGGATGAAATCCTAAAATTAACAATCAAAATACAATTATACAATCTTAAACACAAACAAAAGAAACAATATTAACAAAACAAATCCAACTTAAATTTAAATTTTTAGTTATAAAAAAACTGACCCACGATATACTGCAGAGTAAAATATTCAAAATTTTAAAATCCACCATACATCGTTACTTAAAAAAAAAATATGTTTTCGTATCTATACTTCAAAAAATTGATATATCTACATTTAAAAATACAAATTAATATGATATATCTTCAGTTAATCTTTAAAAATAATATTACATTTATATTTTTTTTAAAAATATAGTCCCGCGGTATACCGCGGGTTAAATTCTAGTTTATCTATTAGTTTCTTTCTAAATTTCTGTAATTTTATTTCTAAACGTTCTTATTAAAAAATAAATTATGTTGCTATAACTAAAAAACATATATTAAAATAACAGCCATAGCTAGCTTCTACGGTTTTTTTTGTTACCAATCAAACTTCTATAAATATTTAAAGTCACAGCTTCTACAGTTGTTGTTACTAATCATGGTATCAGACTTTTATAAATATTTTAAAGTTATAGTCACAGTCTTTACAGCCAAATTCTCTACAGAGTAAAAACTTATAGTAAAAGTCCTTACCAATCGGTCCCTAAAACTGCATTTATTGTACCAGCATCTGTACCGGTTTCGGTTTAAATGAAATTAGCTGTTTGATAAAAAAAAAAAAAAAAAAACTATTATAATCGTATATGACAAAATATAAAGAATAAAGTTAAGATCCCTCACTATACATCTTGGGGAACATGACTCAGATCTTCTCGTCCACTGGTCAAGCATAACAACTCTTCCAAGCTTCTAACCGTGCGTATCTGCTTATTTCAATTTGACTTGCTTTGTCTTTAATTGCTCTGTTTTCAAATGCGATGTTTTATTTATTTTGGCCTTTTCCATAAATTGCTTCCATTCGTTGTAAATTTTTCGTTGTAAATTCACGCTTAGAATGAGTTTAGGGGTGTCAAAATGGGTCAAGATTCATGGGTCAACCAAAACTCAACTCAACCCATGAACCCTAATGAGTTGAATTTTTTGACTCAAATGAGTTGATGGATCAAATGAGTTATTGAGTCAAATGAGTTGATGGATCAAATGAGTTGGGTTGTAATGGGTCAATGGTTTTAATGGTTTACCCATTTGACCTATCAATTTTTGTTAAATTGAATCAAACCAATTTAAATCTCTAAACCGATTTCAATTTGAGTCTAACCAAAACTTCTAAACCGATTGAATATAGTCTTTAATTTTCCCACCAAAAATGTGAATACACAATTTTCCCATCAAAATATAAATTCGTGATTTTCCCGCCAAAAAAATTTATAATTTTTAACAAAAAACGAAAATATGTAATTTTCCCGCCAAAAACGTAAACCCGTAATTTTCCCGCCAAAAACGTAAATCCGTGATTTTCCCGCCAAAATTTTTATAATTTGTAACCAAAAATGAAAATGTAAAATTTTCCCGCCAAAAATGTAAAACCGAGATTTTCCCGCCAAAAACGTAAACCCGAGATTTTCCCGCCAAAATTTTTTATAATTTGTAACCAAAAATGAAAATGTAAAATTTTCCCGCCAAAAATGTAAACCCGAGATTTTCCCGCCAAAAACGTAAATCAGTGATTTTCCCGCCAAATTTTTTTATAATTTTTAACCAAAAATGAAAATGTAAAATTTTCCCGCCAAAAACGTAAATCCATAATTTTCCCGCCAAAAACGTAAACCCATGATTTTCCCGCCAAAAACGTAAATCCGTAATTTTCCCGCCAAAAACATAAGTTCGTAATTTTCCCGCCAAAAAAGTAAATCCGTGATTTTCCCGCCAAAAATTTATAATTTTTAACCCAAAACAAAAATGTGTAATTTTCCCGCCAAAAACGTAAATCCGTGATTTTTCCGCCAAATAATAGTGATGTTGATGATTATTTTATTATTATTATATTTTAATATTAATTTATTTTATTACATTAATAGGTCAATGGGTCAACCCATTTAACCTTCTAACCCATCAAATTAAATGAGTTCATGGGTTGACTCAACTCATTTGCTTAAATGAGTTGAGTCAACCCATGAACTCATTTAACTCTAAACTCATTGGATAATGAGTTGAGTTGAGTTGGGTTAACCATTTTGACACCCCTAAATGAGTTCAAAACCTAGTAAATAATATACAAATGTTATTCATTCATGAATTTCATAATTCAAATCGTTCAACTTACCAGAAAAAACTTGCATTTGCAAAACACTAAAAAAAAAATACTCTTGTCTTACCGTTATATTATACAGAATTTGCAATTAAATCAACACATTGGTTAGTCGTCCGTTTTTTTAACTGGAAAAAGGGCGTGACGAACCTTCTTCTACGCGATCGTATCTCATCCATAAATAAATTCTTTAGAAAACTCATCTTTAATCCTCAATAAGCCTAAGCATAATTGCCTTGATCAGCTCCTCTACATCACACTCAAATATCACATCCTAAAAAGACTAAATTATCCAAGTATATGCCATATTGCCATGGCCCAACTTAAGAAAAGAAGAGAACAGGCCCAATATAAAGAGGCCTTGTAACCCAAAAAATTTAACCTCCTCTGACAATTTTAATTTTCGCGATTCAGAATTTTAACTTTTTTTTTTTTTTCACACCCTAATTAACTTGAACCCTCTAGTCTTCGTCTGTATATACATACTCTCTCGGTTGATTTAATAAAAAAAATTCCATCGAACCCAAAATCGAAGGCAGCGAACACTACTCTCTCTTTTTTTTTTTCTGGGGTTTTCTTCTTCTCCTTCTTCTTCTACTTCGTCGTCTTCGTCTCTCTTCCCTCTACATACACATACACACAGAGGTATGTATCTATCTATATACTCTCTTCCAGATTCGTATGATTCGTATCTCAGGCTTCTCTTGTTTCCGTTTACGTTTTATTGTCTCTACTCTCTCTGATCTGGTTTAGATTCTTGGATTCCTTCTTATTGGTTTCTGAAATTGAGTTTTCTCAAACTCTTTTTTTTGTTTTGTAGCTTTTGAAAAAAATAGCGGACGCTGGAGCAGTTAGATGGCGGCCGGGAGATCATCAAGTATGCCGTCACGACTCCGGCAGCTTTTATCCGGCGAAGGTTCTATTGGTCCTTCTATTAGACTCGACGCTGAACCTGTGAGTTCTTTTGAAATTTTTCTTGCTTCTTTGATTGAATTTTTAATTAGGTTTTCTTCTATTTGGGAAATTTGTTTTATCAACAGTTTTATTGGTCTGCTTAGTGGTCAAACTATCATCAATGATTATTTAGGGTTATTTTCCAGTTTGGTTTAGGCTATGTTGCATAGATATGTTTAATATCTTGTCACTTGATTTATCTGTAGTGCAGTCTAATTATCCATGGTTTTATCTTCACTGTGTTAGTCCTGATGGGTAGAATTTGTTAGGGTATATATAGGATTGATATATCCAATGTGTCTTAGTTTGCATTCATATGAAAAGTTGTTTCTTGCACCTATTGAAGAAACCTTATGTTGCAGTAGAGTCTTCACTGTGTTAATTACTGGGGTTTTTGTTTTCTCATAAGCTTGTTTTTTCTCTAGCATTCCTTTGCAAATTATCATTATACATTTAATGCAATCTTCTTACATTTTATTTACATCCTAGTCCTAACAAGTTTTGCTTTACGTTATCTTGTTTTACAGCCACCTGAAATCAAATCATTCATTGACAAAGTAATCCAGAGTCCACTGTCAGATATTGCAATACCTCTCTCCGGTTTTCGGTGGGAATACAGTAAGGTAATAATTACGTGACTTTCTCAAAGTTTCAGGTTCTTCTTATGTTCTTTCTTTGTGGTTTCTCACATGATTAAATTATTCCAGGGGAACTTTCATCACTGGAGACCGTTGTTTCTACATTTTGATAAATACTTCAAGACATATTTATCAAATAGGAATGACCTTCTCTTGTCCGATAATATTCTAGAGGATGAGAATCCCTTTCCGAAGCACACAGTACTTCAAATACTTAGGGCAATGCAGATCATTCTGGAAAATTCTCCCAACAAAAGTTCATTTGATGGTTTAGAGGTACGCGAATTTATTGTGAAGGCTGTGATGCATTTCTGAGATCTGTATACTTAGATGCTATATTTTCTAGTATTTATTCCAACTTCATTTATGTTGCAGCACTTTAAACTCCTACTTGCTTCTACGGATCCAGAGGTTCTCATTGCAGCTTTGGAAACTCTTTCTGCGCTTGTGAAAATCAGCCCATCTAAGCTCCACAGGAGTGGAAAATTGATTGGATGTGGTTCAGTAAACAGCTTCCTACTCTCTATTGCCCAGGGTTGGGGTAGCAAAGAGGAAGGATTGGGTTTGTATTCTTGTGTTGTGGCTAACGAAAAAAACCAGGAAGAAGGTCTGAGTTTATTTCCTTCTGACGTGGAAAATAATCAGAGTGAAGCAGATTATCGGTTGGTTCTACTGTTTTTTTTGAGTTGCGTGGACACAGTGCCCAGAGAATAGATGATGGTAGAAGTGCTAGTACTTGTTCAAGGGTGATACAAATTCCTGATTTACACATGAGGAAAGAGGATGATCTAGTGTTAATGAAGCAGTGTATAGAGCTTCACAATGTTCCTACGGAGCTCAGATTCTCTTTACTGACCCGAATTAGATATGCTCATGCTTTTCGTTTCTTCCAGAATATGCCGGTTATATAGCAGGATCTGCCTACTTGCATTTATTGTTCTTGTTCAGTCAAGTGATGCTCAAGACGAACTTGCGTCCTTCTTTGCAAATGAACCTGAGTATACAAATGAATTAATCAGAATTGTCAGATCTGAAGAACCAATCCCTGGAACCATTAGAACTCTTGCAATGCTTGCATTGGGAGCGCAATTGGCTGTATACTCGGCCTCTCATGATCGGGCCAGGATTCTAAGCGGATCTAGCATCAGTTTTGCTGTTGGCAACAGAATGATTCTTCTTAACGTGCTTCAGAAAGCTGTGCTATCTTTGAAGATCTCAAGTGATCCATCATCTATTGCTTTTGTAGAGGCTCTACTCCAGTTTTATTTGCTCCACATTGTTTCATCATCGTCATCTGGAAGCACTATAAGGGGGTCAGGAATGGTTCCCACGTTTCTCCCTCTCTTGGAGTATGCTGATCCAAGCCACATGCATCTTGTATATTTGGCTGTTAAAGCACTACAAAAGCTCATGGATTATAGTAGTTCAGCTGTACCTCTACTCCGGGATCTTGGGGGAGTAGAGCTTTTGTCTCAGAGGTTAGAGGTAGAGGTACATCACATTCTTGGGTTACCTGTAGAGAACAACAGTGATATGGTAGTTGGTGAATCCTTAAAAATAAATGGTGATCAGTTGTTATCCCGAAAGAGACTCATCAAGGTTCTTCTGAAGTCTCTTGGTTCTGCGACGTATACCCCTGGAAATGCTAATAGGTCTCAAAGTTCTCATGAGAGTACTTTGCCTGCCACTTTGTCTTTAATATACAGGAATGCAGATAAATTTGGTGGTGATATTTATTACTCAGCTGTCACAGTGATGAGTGATATAATCCACAAAGACCCCACATCTCTTACTTCCCTGTTTGAAATGGGTCTCCCTGAAGCATTTTTGTCTTCTGTTGTATCAGGAATACTTCCTTCGTCAAAGGCTCTTGCTTGCATTCCAAATGGGGGCAATATGTCTCAATAGCAAAGGATTGGAGACAGTAAAAAATACTTCGGCATTGCGCTTCCTTGTCGACGTGTTTACCAGCAAGAAGTATGTTTTAGCTATGAATGAGGCCATTGTTCCGTTTACAAATGCTGTGGAAGAGCTTTTGCGTCATGTTACGTCGCTAAGAGCCACTGGTGTTGAAATCATTATTGAAATTGTGGATAAAATTGCATGCTTTGGAGAGACTGGTGCTTCATCATCATCTGTAGATCGACTGAATACTGCACTGCAATGGAAATGGATTCAGATGTAAAGGAAACTTCTGGTGTCAGTCATGAGCAGTTCATTCAACTCTGCATCTTTCATCTGATAATTCTGCTCCATAGAACAATGGAGAATTCTGAGACATCTCGTCTCTTTGTGGAGAAGTCTGGCATCGAGGCTTTACTTAAGCTTCTTTTACGGCCTAGCATTGCTCAATCCTCTGAAGGGATTTCTATTGCCTTGCATAGCACCATTGTTTTCAAGGGTTTTCGCAACATCACTCTTCTTCTCTTGCTCGTGCCTTTTGCTCTTCTCTTCGCGATCAATTGAGGAAAGCTTTAGAAGGGCTGCAAGATCTTTCAGGGACGTTCTTACTGGATCGAAAACTTTCTCCAAGTTCAGGAATTTTTTCCTCTCTTTTTCCTTGTGGAGTTTCTTTTGTTTCTAGCTGCATCAACAGGATAAACCGTTGGGTGAGTGCATTGCTTTTGGGAGTTTGCAAATGGAAGCAAGGATGTTCTGGAAAATATTGGACACTTGCATCGTGAAATTCTGTGGCAAATAGCTTTCATGAGGGTGCCACAGTTGAATTCAAACGAAAAGGCTAGTTTCGTCTCCCGAGTCAGAGAAAGCTGAGTTGGGTATAACTGCAACGGAAGGCCAAAGGTTCAATTCTTTTAGACAGTTCCTTGATCCATCATTTCGGAGGAGGACAGCAGGATGGAGTGCAGAATCTCAATTCTTTGATTTGATAAATCTTTATCGTGATCTTGGGCGTGCATCAACTGGTTTTCAACCAAGACCTATAAGTGATGGTCCCTCTAGTTCATCAGACGTTACTGGCAAAAGAGAACATGAAAAAGATGGATCCTATTATACATCTTGCTTGTGACATGGTGAGGTCACTATCCTCCACATCACTTACATATTCCAAGAGTTAGGGAAGGCAATGCTGCTCCCATCTCGTAGGAGAGAAGATACAATCAATGTTTCTCCGTCGTCTAAGTTAGTTGCCTCAACTTTTGCTTCAATCTCCCTGGATCACTTAAATTTTGGAGGCCATGAGATTCTTCCTGAGGCATCGGTGTCAACTAAATGTCGCTACCCTTGGCAAAGTTGTTGACTTTATCGATGCTATCCTTCTTGACAGGCCTGATTCGTGTAATCCTTTCTGATTAATTGCTTTTACAGCCGGGGGTGATTCAGGCGGTTTTTGACAACATTTGATGCTACTAGCCAGCTTTTATTCACTATTAATAGGAACCGCTCATCTCCGATGGAGACTGATGATGTTAAAGGAAGCAAGATGAAAAGGAAGATGCAGATCATGCTTGGATATCTGGTCCGCTGGCTAGCTATGGCAAACTCATGGACCATTTGGTCACATCATCATTTATCTTGTCACCATTCACAAAGCACTTGCTTGTTCAACCCGTAGAAAGTGGAAATTATCCATTTCCACAAGATGCTGAGACATTTGTGAAGATTCTCCAGTCCATTGTGTTGAAAGCTGTACTTCCTGTTTGGAGTCATCCACAATTTACCGAATGTAGTTATGATTACGTTACTACACTCATTTCCATCATCAAGCATGTTGTACTCCGGAGTTGAACTGAAAAACCTAGGTGGTAGTGGTAGTGCTCGTGTCACAGGTCCACCTCCTAATGAAACACCATTTCGACAATTGTGGAGATGGGTTTCTCCAGATCCAGAGCAGAAGAAGCCTTGAGACAGGTTGGATCAAACAGCGTTGAGTTGGCAATGGAGTGGCTGTTTTTCCCACCCAGAAGAAGTCCCAGAGGATGATGATGATGAGCTTGCTCGTGCTCTTGCCATGTCCCTTGGTAATTCTGAATCAGATACAAAGCAGAATGTTTGCAGATGAAACTCAACAACAAATTGAAGCAGAATTGGTCTCACTGCCACCTGTTGAAGAGCTTATAACAACATGTACGAAGCTTTTTGCAGATGAAAGAACCCCTTGCTTTTCCTGTTAGAGACTTACTTGTATTGATATGCTCAGAAACAATGGGGAACACCGATTTGGTGTTATTTCTTGCCTTCTTAGCCGGACTAAGGATTGCTGTCCTGTTTTCGATGACACAAAGAACAACCTGCTCTCTGCTCTGTTGCATGTTCTTGCTTTGATTCTACATGAAGATGCAGGTTCACGTGAAGTTGCGCTGAAGGCTGGTATAGTAAGACTTGTATGCGATGTACTTTCAAAGTGGGATTCTGGTAATATTGATAAGGAAAAAGTCAAAGTTCCAAAGTGGGTGACTACAGGATTTCTTGCCATTGATAGGCTGCTACAAGTGGACCAGAAATTAAATACTGAGCTTATAGAGGAGTTGAAAAAGGGTGAGGAGTTGAAAAAAGGGTGAGACATCTCTCGCCATTGATGAGAGCAAGCAGAGAAGCTGCAATCTGTTTTTGGCTCCCCACAGCTTGTTGATGTTAACGATCAGAAGAAACTGATTGAGATTGCTTGTACCTGTATCCGGAATCAGCTTCCTTCTGAAACAATGCATGCTGTTCTACAGCTTTGTTCTACATTGACGAGGAAACATTCTGTTGCTGTCTGCTTTCTTGATTTTGGAGGTGTGCAAGCACTACTTTCTCTACCGAGTAATAGTCTCTTTCCAGGGTTTGACAGTGTTGCTGCTAGTATTATCCGCCACGTCCTTGAAGACCCCCAAACGCTTCAGCAAGCCATGGAATCTGAGATAAAGCATGCACTCGCAACACTTTCTAACAGGCACTCAAATCCGAGAATATCTCCACGCAACTTTTTATTGAATGTGAATTCAGTAATTGCTCGGGATCCAGTCACTTTTATCCAGGCCGCTCGTTCAATATGCCAAGTAGAGATGGTTGGTGAAAGACCTTACATCGTATTAGTGAAAGAAAAAGAGAAATCAAAAGAGAAAGAGAAGGATAAAGACAAAGCTGAGAAAGAAAAATCGCAGACCTCTAATGATGAGAAAGTGGCAACTACCCCAGCCCCTGGGAGCACCAAGGCACCTAAAGTTCACCGAAAACCACCCCAGTCCTTCATTTGTGTTGTTGAGCTGCTTCTGGATTCTATCTGTACTTTCATTCCTCCTCCAAAAGATGACATGGTTGAAGGTGATTCAACTTTAGCGGACATGGATATTGATCTTGCCTCTACAAAAGGGAAAGGCAAAGCTGTTGCTGCTACACCTGAAGAAAAGGAAGCCAATTCACAGGATATGTCAGCTTCACTGGCTAAAATGGTTTTCATTCTGAAGCTTTTGAGCGAGATGCTCTTAATGTATTCATCGTCAATCCATATAATACTTCGAAGAGATGCTGAAATTAACAGTCTCAGAGGTCCCCAACAGAAAAGTGGTCAAGTTGGTGGAATATTTCATCATATTCTTCACAAGTTTATTCCCTACTCAAGGGTGAAAAGGAAAAGAAATCAGATAGTGATTGGCGGCAAAAGCTAGCAAGTAGAGGTAATCAATTTTTAGTGGGTGCATCTGTTCGATCATCTGAAGCTAGGAAGAGGATATTTTCAGACATTGGCAGTATCTTCAATGACTTCATAGATACGTGCAATGGGTTTAGACCTCCAGTTAATGAAATTCAAATTTTAATTGATCTGTTGAGTGATATGCTCTCAGCTCGGTCACCTACTGGATCACATATATCTTCAGAAGCTTCTGCTACTTTTGTTGATGTTGGATTGGTCAGGTCTCTAACTCGTACTCTTGAAGTGTTGGACTTGGACAATGTAGAATCTCCCAAAGCTGTAACAGGAATCATAAAAGTCTTGGAGTTGGTGACAAAGGAGCATGTCCATTCTGCTGATTCGAACTCGAAGGATGATAATGCGAACAAGTCATCTGATCAAATGCAATCAGGAAGAGGAGATACCATTGTTGTTGCTTCTCAGGCAGTGGAAAGGATGCTTGGGTCCAATCTTGATTCCATGACAGCTGATCATGTGGAAAATTTTGGTGGTTCCAACACCTATGTTGGTTCGGAGGCTCTGACAGATGACATGGAACATGATCAAGACTTGGATGAAGGTTTTGCCCCAGCGGAGGATGATTATATGCAAGATGCAGCTGAGGATGCCAGGGGGCTAGAAAATGGGGTTGGGTCGTTGGGTATAGAATTTGAGATGCACACCCACTCGCAGGAAAATCTTGATGAAGAGGAAGACGAGGAGATGTCTGGCGATGAGGGGGACGAAATAGATGAAGATGAAAACGATAATGAAGAAGAAGATGAGGAGGATAATGACTTGGAAGAAGATGATGTACATCACCTACCTCATCATGACACTGACCAAGATGACCAAGATGACCAAGATGATCATGAGCTTGATGATGATGAATTTGAAGAAGAAGTACTGGTTGAAGAAGATGAAGAGGACGACGATGATGAAGATCGGGTAATTCTTAGGTTTGAAGATGGAATCAATGGGCTAAACGTTCTTGATCACTTAGAGGTTCTTAGAGATCATAGATTTTCTGATGAAACACTTCATGTGATGCCTGTTGAAGTCTTTGGCTCGAGACGCCAAGGACGAACAACTTCTATTTACAGCCTTCTCGGCAGAACTAGTGATGGTGCTACTCCTTCACAGCATCCTCTTTTATCGGGATCTGCATCACTTCCAGCTTCGCAAAGTCAGACAGGTTCTCATTTCTATTCTTCGTTCATCCCTCCTTTCTGTTATGGTATCTTATGTCATATTTTCTACCATCTTATTATTCTAGTTTAATCGAAACCGCCTTTTATAATAATTATGAAATTATCCCTCTTTAGTCTTTTGTTTCATTTCTGTTGATCGCCCTACAGAAATAATCTGCTTATCAACCCTTTTTTTCTTCTTTTTCTAGAGAACATGCGTGATCTTGCTGATGGAGGTAGGGATTCCCACAGTAGTTCTTCATCACGGCTAGATGCTATATTCCGATCCCTGAGGAATGGGCGGCAGGGGCATCGTTTGAATTTGTGGGCTGATGACAGTCAGCAAATTGTTGGATCTGGTGCGTCTACTGTACCGCAAGGTCTTGAAGATTTGCTTGTATCTCAGTTGAGACGACCCAGCTCTGATAAGCCTTCTGATCAGAATTCTTCACTTTTGGAACACCAATCTCAGGCTGAGAGTGGGCGGTCCGAGGAAGCAACAATCGGACCTGAAATTCCAGCTGAAAATGCCATCGGTAATGGAGGTGCCAATGTGTCTGCCCCGTCTGTCGTTTCACTAGATGCATCTACTCGGCCCGATACACAAGCCACTGCTAATGAATCTGTCTCAAGCCCACAGTCTCAGTCAGTCGAAATGCAATATGATCAAAATGATTCAACTATCCGGGATGTTGAAGCTGTGAGCCAAGAAAGCGGCGGAAGTGGGGCAACCTTAGGGGAAAGCCTTAGGAGTTTGGATGTTGAAATCGGAAGTGCTGATGGTCATGATGATGGTGCCGAAAGGCATGAGATTCAGCCAGCTATGCGCTCAAGAAGGGCAAATTTGTCACTTGTGCCATCTTCAGCTGGACGAGAAGCTTCTCTTTACAGTGTTACTGAGGTTTCTGAGAATTCTGGCCACGATGCTGAGCAGGATAATCCTCCAGCAGAGCAACCAGTAAACAGGGATGTTAGTTCTGGTTCTATTGATCCTGCATTTTTGGATGCCCTTCCAGAGGAACTGCGAGCTGAAGTCCTTTCAGCTCAGCAAGGACAAGTGCCACAACCTTCTACCAATGAACAGCAAAATTCAGGAGATATTGATCCTGAGTTTCTTGCTGCACTTCCTCCTGATATCCGAGCTGAAGTTCTGGCACAGCAACAAGCACAAAGGCTTCATCAGTCTCAGGAGCTTGAAGGTCAACCTGTGGAGATGGACACAGTTTCAATAATTGCGACATTTCCTTCTGAGTTGCGAGAAGAGGTAAGAGTATTGCCTTTAAGCGTCATGGCTATGAATAGGATATAAGTATATCCATCTAATCTTATTTTTTGTATTTAGGTTTTGTTAACGTCATCTGATGCTATTCTTGCAAATCTTACACCTGCACTGGTCGCGGAAGCAAACATGTTGCGTGAAAGGTTTGCTCATCGATACCACAACCGCACACTTTTTGGTATGCATCCAAGACTTCGTAGAGGGGAGCCATCCAGGCGAGGTGAAGGTGTCTTGTCTGGAAATGAGGGGGTTGCTTCTCGTAGGTCTGCTGGAAAGGTTATTGAAACCGATGGAGCTCCTCTAGTTAACACTGAGGCACTCCAAGCAATGATCCGCGTTCTTCGCATAGTCCAGGTAGCTACCTAATGCACCTAATGCATCTTTCACAAAATTAAGATATTTAACTGCCATCACTTCGACAATTTACCTATATGTCTTTGGTCTACAGCCTCTATACAAGGGTCCTCTGCAAAGGCTTTTGCTGAATTTATGTTCTCATGGCGAAACAAGGTTTTCCTTAGTTAATACATTCATGGATATGTTGATGCTTGATACAAGGAAGCCTGTTAACTACCCAAGTGTTTCCGAACCACCTTATCGTCTTTATGCATGTCAAAGCAATGTAACATATTCACGTCCTCAGCACTTTGATGGTATGCATTTATTTTAAGCTGAATTCTGACTGGGAATGCCCTTACAATAAACAATGATCTGTATGCTTCTGCTGTTTATAAACTATTGAAGCTAGAATTTTTAAGATAATTTTTGTTATTCTGTTTGCAGGGGTTCCTCCTCTAGTGTCTCGACGTGTTCTTGAGACGTTGACATATTTGGCTCGAAATCATATGTACGTAGCCAAGATTCTGCTTCAATCCAGGCTTTCACTGCCTTCCTTGCGAGGTTCGGCACCCTCAGACAAGGCACATGGAAAAGCTGTTGTAGTAAGTGATGATTACATAGGCAGTAAGCAGCACGAACCCGAATCTATAGCCTTCGCGTTGCTTCTCAGTCTCCTGAACCAGCCCCTTTATTTGAGAAGTGTGGCTCATCTTGAACAGGTACTCCTTTTCATTTAGTCATATGGTTTAGCTTTGCTTAGTTTTATTAAAATGAACTCAGGGATGGATGTTTTTTCTCATCATTTAATCCAGCTGTTGAACTTACTGGAGGTCATCATTGACAACGCTGAAAGAAAGTCTGATTCAGCTGACAGATCAGATGGGTCTGCCAGTCAGCAACAATCAACACCTCAAGGTTTAGAAGTTGAAAACAATTCAGAAAATCATGATATTATATCTGGCTCTACTGGTACAATAACCAAGCCAATAGATTCATCTGCAAGTTCTTCCACCAAAGCAGAGAGTGAATGTGATGTTCAGAGTGTGTTACTGAATCTTCCCCAGTCAGAGCTGTGTCTACTTTGTTCCTTACTTGCACGTGAAGGGTATGTCAGATGCTTATCTACGATAACTTCTTACTTTCAATTCTTTGAATCTTTCAATCATATTTATAAGTTTCTACATCTTGTCTCACTACTTATTCTGTTCATTCAGTTTGTCGGATAACGCATACACCCTTGTGGCGGAGGTGCTGAAAAAACTTGTGGCAATTGCTCCAAGTCATTGTCATTTGTTTATAACTGAGCTGGCAAATGCAATACAAAACTTGACAAGAACAGCGATGAGTGAACTTCACATGTTCGGTGAAGCAGTGAAAGCTCTGCTAAGTACCACTTCGTCCGATGGATCTGCAATTTTGAGGGTTTTGCAAGCATTAAGCTCCCTCATGGGTTCGTTAATCACGAAAGGGAAAAACCAGCCGCAGAATTCAGAAGAGCATGTTGCTGTGCTTTCTCAACTGTCGAACATCAATTCAGCTTTGGAACCTCTGTGGCTTGAGTTAAGCAATTGCATATGCAAAATTGAGGGGCATTCTGAGTCAGCGACTATTACTATATCTCCGTCTTTGAGCTCAACGACAAGGGTAGCTGGAGTAAACCAGTCACTGCCTGCTGGTGCCCAGAACATCTTGCCTTATATAGAGTCATTTTTTGTTACGTCTGAGAAGTTGCATCCATCACAGTCTGGTTCAGGACATGATTTTGGGGTTCCCATGGCTTCTGAAGTTGAGGAACAGCCAAAGGGTCCAGGACCTAGCTCGAAGGTGGATGAGAAGTATGCTTCTTTTATCCGGTTTTCTGAAAGGCACAGGAAACTTCTTAATGCTTTTATCCGACAAAATCCTGCTCTGCTTGAGAAGTCCTTTTCACTCATGCTGAAGGTTCCACGTTTTATTGAATTTGATAATAAACGTGCATACTTCAGATCAAAGATAAAGCACCAGCATGATCATCACCATAGCCCTCTGCGAATCTCTGTGAGAAGAGCATACATTCTTGAAGATTCATATAACCAATTGCGAATGAGGTCAACTCAAGAACTGAAAGGTAGATTGACTGTTCACTTCCAAGGAGAGGAAGGTATTGATGCGGGTGGGCTTACCAGGGAATGGTATCAGCTGCTGTCAAGGGTTATTTTTGACAAAGGTGCTCTTCTGTTCACAACCGTTGGCAATGACTCAACCTTCCAACCAAATCCAAACTCTGTTTACCAGACAGAACACCTCTCCTACTTCAAATTTGTTGGCCGTGTTGTAAGTTTTAGCTTCTTTTTAAGTATGACGTAGAGTTAGTGCTCTGGTTTATGCGTTAATTTCTAATTTGATTTGTCCATGTCCAGGTTGGAAAAGCTCTGTTTGATGGGCAACTCCTTGATGTCCATTTCACTCGTTCGTTTTACAAGCATATCTTGGGAGTTAAGGTTACATACCATGATATTGAAGCCATAGATCCCGATTACTATAAAAACCTGAAATGGATGTTGGAGGTATTTATACTTTTGCGGCAATGAAATAAACTACACTATCAACTATCCTTGTTACTCATCTTTTCTTCCATATGCAGCATGATATCAGCGATGTCCTAGATCTCACTTTTAGCATTGACGCTGATGAGGAAAAACTGATACTTTATGAAAAAACGGAGGTATTTTGTTCAGCCATTTAACATTGTCCCTGAAATAATTGTTGATATTTTTTTCTGAACTTCGAGATATAAAATGCAGGTAACTGACCATGAACTAATCCCTGGAGGTCGGAACATTAAAGTTACTGAGGAGAATAAGCATCAATATGTTGACCTAGTTGCTGAGCATCGATTAACCACAGCCATCCGCCCTCAGATTAATGCATTCCTGGAAGGGTTTAGTGAACTTATCCTTAGAGATCTAATATCCATTTTCAATGACAAGGAATTGGAGTTATTAATCAGTGGTCTTCCTGATATCGACTGTAAGTTATCTTGTACTAAGAGTTTCATGGCATTTTCTGTTAGTTTCAAACACAAGAAGTGTTATTGAACTTTTGTTTTGTAATATATATCAGTGGATGACCTGAGGGTGAATACTGAATATTCTGGGTACAGTCCTGGATCCCCCGTTATCCAGTGGTTCTGGGAGGTTGTTCAGGGATTGAGCAAAGAAGACAAAGCCCGTCTATTGCAGTTTGTGACAGGAACCTCGAAGGTAACAAACATCTTATATTTCTGTGGCCTTTGGCTTATTATACATGTTTTTTTGGCTAAATAATTATTTGAAGAAACATTAAGCATTAATGCATAAGCCTCCAAGGTAATGATAAATGGGAAATGAGTGTTGAGAAAAGCAGATTTTTGGTTATCTGTGTCCACTAATATTTTGATATCCAACACAGGTTCCTCTGGAAGGATTTAGTGCCCTTCAAGGAATTTCAGGCGCACAGAAGTTTCAAATCCACAAGGCATATGGAAGCGTTAATCACTTGCCGTCTGCTCATACCTGGTAAAACCTCAATTCTTCTTCCGGTTTTATAAATCCATTCAGTGTAAACATAAAACTTAATATTCAAAATACTTTTGCAGTTTCAATCAGTTAGATCTACCGGAGTACCCGTCTAAGGAACATCTGCAGGAGAGGCTACTCCTCGCGATCCATGAAGCCAGCGAAGGATTCGGCTTTGGTTAACACAGAGTTCCCCCAGATTTTTCGACTACTTTTTCTTCCCTTTTTTTTTTTGTTTTGTTTATTTTATATCTTTTGGTAATGACTATGTGAATGAAGTAGTATTTTTCTGCAATACAATGCTCTTTTATATTATGGGCATAAGAACGATTCTCCAACCCCTTCATTGTGACTATTTCTCACTCTCTCTTGTAAAGTTTACTCTTCCTTTCCAATGAGTAATTCTTTAATATCCCATATCTAAATCCCATATATATTGCAAATTAAATATCTTTAGCTATGAAGACGACGCAAAACCTTTTTACTATTAATTATGTACGTCATTGTGAAATGTCTTTAATTTTGGACGAATTTGTCTTTAGTACTAATAAGTTATGACTAAATGGTATCTTAATTAAATAAATACTTCGGTTTAAAGGTCAAGTACTCAAGTGATTTATTTAAAGGTCAATCGTGCTAATTGAATTGATATACTGTTTAATTTGGTATGATATAATAATAAGTAGTTAACTACAAGTCTACAAGTAGCTTTACCAAAAAAAAAAAAAAAAAAAAACTACAAGTAGCTTCATGGTTGATTAAAAAAATATACAAAAAAGCGTTGACTAAATCTCCCAGACGAAGGGGCTCGCTCTCTCTCTCATGCACGCACGTCCCTGAATGAATGGGTGTGGCATAACGGTGCACCATACCACAGAGGATCATTATTTCGTCTTCCCTCAGAAAACGGAAAAGTCGTCGTCTTCTTCGTTCCCGCTCCCACGCTCTCTCCTCTTCCTCGGATCTTCCATCTTCTCTAACCGCAAATGACTCAGTCGTAACCTTCTTCAGTTTCTCTCTCTCCAAATTTTCACAATTTTTGCTTCCGAGCTATGACCCCAGTGCGTCTGCTTCGTCTCGACCGCTGATTTGCTTGATCGGAATAAAACGCCGCCGAGTTTCCTAGTCTATGTGTATTGTGATTTCCTCCCGAAATGGCAGCTTTCCTCGTCATGTTTATCTTCACGATCGCTGTGATCGTCGCACTCCTTTGGGTTTTCTTCAAGTATGTGCCATTTTCGCCTCTTCATCGGCGTTCAAATCGTGTTTCCTATGATGACCTAGTGATCGTTTTCACCGTTTCGCCAGTTTCTGATTTGAGATTATTCTACTCAAAATTGTTTTGGGAAATTGATTTCGTTTTCAAAATTCCTTGAGGAATTGATTAACGCAAGTTTTGGAATCTAGAGTTGTTGAACAATTCGAATTAGGTGGCCATGTTACCAGTTTTGAGTATGAAGAATTTTAGTGTAGCATAGATAGATGTTCAATAATCCCTTAATTGAATCTATATTCGTTTGATTTCTCAATCAGAGTTGAGTTTGATCTTTGGATTTTCAACTCTAATTAGGTCACTCCCTTGGATTCTCCGGCATTCTGCTGGAATAACACTCAGTTTTCAGTTTGATGGATGGAACTGCTTGAAAGATGTTACATTGCATTTCAAGAAGGTTTGTATGTCTTTGTTTTGTAAATTTCAAGTCAATCAATTTATCTACATCTCTGGTTTTAACTACGCTGGTGTATGTTTGTTGTTTTTGTTATTTACAGGGTTCTATTGAATCTATAGTCGTTGGAGAGTTTAAAGCCAATCTAAGTCAATCCCTGGTTGAACTTTGTGCTACGGCTTTTATCCAGGATCCTAAAGTTATATTCTCTATATGTGACCTGAAAGTAAAAACTAGACCCTCCAACTCAAGTAAAAGTCCTCGCAAACCAAAAACTCGGAAACCGAGCTCTGGTGGCAAGGGAAAGTTGATGCTATTTGCTAATATTGGGAGATTCTTTACACTTTCCATGACGAATATGGTTGTGCAGGTAACTGCAGCCTGCTCTCATTTCTATAGAAAACTCTTTCTATTTGGTTCAGCTGCATGCTATAATTCCCTTTCATTCTAACTTGTTGAGCTAGTTTTAATGAGAACGGCATGAATGGCAGTGATGCTACTAGCTTCAGTTGTTAGTACCATAAACAAAATTATAGTGAAAGATTCACTCGCAATGATCTTCATTAATTTTGATTAAATCTTATCTCACTGGCTTTTTAGATATAGAGTAGTAATATATTGACCACAAGCCAAGATATATTTCCCATGATGAGGTGCTTTATGCTCAAATGACTGTTAGCTTTCTGTGCTTCTGTTAACTTATTCTGTATAGAAGATATACTTGTTAATTTTCAGACAATTCAGAGTACGTGGAACAAAATTAGGCATTTCTAGAACTATACTAACCATCGTTGCTACTGGTTGTTCTTATTTCCTCTTGCAAAACTGCAGACACCTAAAGCTACAGCAGAAATCAAGGAGTTGGAGCTCGATTTATCTAAGGATAGAGGGTCAGGGAATTTTTTCATCAAACTGTATCTATTGCCGATATTTGTACAGATTGGCGAACCACATGTTACTTCCATTCATTCACCTGAGATGAACAGTGACATTTGCCTCGCTAGACAGACATCTTCCAAAACCTCAGAGGGCTCTTCTTTTCATTGCGAAAAGCTCTCCTTCTCCTGCGAATTTGGTCATAATAGGTACCTTTTGCTTGACATACTCATATGATTTCGTACCCCATTCACATGTACATTTTAATCCTCATGGCTGCCATACTTCGATCTTCCTGGAGCAGAGAATCAAGTCCAAGTATAAAGAACGTCGAAGTAGACCTAGCTGATGCTGTTCTTAACCTTAATGAGAAGCTGCTGTTGAAAAAAAAATCCTCGACAAGTGCTGCTTCCACAGGTGAAGTGATTGAATCAAGTTCTGGTAACACCACTTCAGAGAAGCCTCCAAAGCAACCAGTGAATGTTTTGGTTGCAAAGCATGCTCCAAAATTCCCTGAGAAGGTGAGAGATTTTTTTAGCATGAGATAACTGCAAGTCTGCAAGTATCTTTTATATATGCATATGTGTGTATAGATAATCAATAAACTGAATAAGCCATATGGTTGAAAAGACATGCATATGTGACTTTGTGTGCATGGGATAACTGCAAGTATCTTTTATTGATTATCAATACACACAATTGGCTCATTCAGTTTATCCCATATTGCATCAGCATCACCTATCCAACTCAGAATTGCTAAAAAAATCACATTTCTTTAAGGAACAGTTAGAAACCATGTAAGATTATTATTTGCTTCTACAATGAAAGGAGTTTGTGCATATGGTGTATAGTCAATTGATTATCTGAAGTCTTACTCGTGCCTTTGACATTATGTGGTAGGTTTTATTTGATTTGTCGAAGCTTGAAATCAGATTTGTGCATCAAGAACATGATTTTTCTATCGCGAACAGCATAACAGGCTTTCAATTGAGAAGTGCCAAATCTCAATCTGGTGGAGATGGCAAGGAAGACACATGTCTTGATTTTGTTATGGAACTCCAGGAGATGCATGTATGTTAAAAAGCAGTTGTCTTAGTAATAATTCAGTGAAATATTCGTTTTGATGTCTTTTAATTTCCCTTTCATTTCAGCTTTTTAGAGAATCTGAAGTTTCTGTCTTGGAGATGACAAAATTTGCAGTTTTCTCCAAGGTGTATTGTCCAATACAGGTGAGCCCTCTGAGTTAGAGACAGAAGTCTTTGCTGGTGGTTTTTTTGTTTTTGTACATGTGCTTTGGCTGCTTTTATACTCGGAAATGATTAGAAAACCAGCTTATACAATGTTCATATCCTCTTTTGGTTTTATAGTTTTATATATTTTGCACATGTGCTGCAATTCTAACAGAAGGGCCTTCATGATTTGATGTATTATTTGATCTTGGTGTTCCTCTCAGGAATCCTTCCCTGTTAGGGCTGACGTTGAGATTAAGCTGGGAGGTATAATGAGCAACATTATAATGACGAGATTTGAGCCGCTGTTGCGTTTGCACTTCTCTAGAAAGAAAAAGATGGTTCTCAAAGAGGAAAGACCTAACATTGCAAAATCAGAAACCACTGGTTTTAAGGCTGTGGTATGGAAATGTGCCACCTCAGCCCCTGATGTGACGGTTGTGATATACAGTCCGGGCGGTTCTCCTATATACCAAGTAAGTAGAAGACGTGTGTTTGCTGCTGTCTTGTTGGTTCTAAATTCAGGAAAGTTTTTCAGTACAATCTTAATATTTGTTTGTTTCAGATTGAAATATTATAATTCATGCATATTTTGCACGATCTTTAATTAGCATCAACAAGGCTAGCAAGAATATATACTAATCAACCTCAACACTGACTTTAATTCTTCTTTTTTTGCAGTGCGGCTTAGATTCATTTCAGGTCACTGCAAATAATATGTCAAATAGGGGAACAGTTGTACAGATGGAGCTAAATGAACTGAATTTATGCATGGTAGATGAACATAAGGGATGTTTGAAAGAAAGCCTCTTTGGTTTAGAGTCAGATCCAGGCTCATTAATCAGTATAAGAAAGGTCAAATCGGAATGGGGCAAGAAAGAAGGAGTGTTACCTGAGGGCGATGGTTCTAAGGGTAAACAAACACTGGTGGTTGACGTATCAGAAATAGGTCTGTTATTTTCTTTCAGGAATGTTGAAGCGCTTACAGTAAATGCAATGTCAATTCAGGCTTATATGAAAAGTTTAACTGGTGCTAGTAATAAGAACAGACAGGAAAAAGGGGCACCTAGATCGAAGCCATCGGGCAGAGGGACTCAACTGTTGAAACTGAATGTTGAACGTTGCTCTCTTAATTTCGCTGGAGATTCAAGCCTGGAAAATACAGTCATTGATGATCCTAAACGTGTCAATTATGGATCACAGGGTGGAAGAATTATAATTAGTGTCTCAGCTGACGGCTCACCTCGAACTGCCAGCGTTTTCTCTACTTTGTCCAAGGAACATGAGAAGTTGAAGTACATAATTTCGTTTGAAATACTCAAATTCGGATTTACCCTAAACAAGGAGATTCAGTCTACACAGGTAGAACTTGAAACAGCAAAGGCGATCTACCAGGAATTTTTGGAGGAACCTCACCAAGTTTCCAGAGTGACACTTTGTGACATCCAAAACGCTAAGTTTGTACGTCGTATAGGCGGTGGTAAGGAAGTTTCAATCTGTTCGCTCTTCAGTGCCTCTAATATTGCCGTCAGATGGGAGCCTGATGTGCACATATCAATGGTCGAGCTTGGTCTGCGTTTGAAGTCCCTAGTCTTAACTCAGAAACTTAAGCAACATGGTAACAAAAACCCAGAAGAGGCTTCCACTGTAACAGGTGATAGACAGAAGGAAGAACCAACTACTACCCCGAATTCTGTTGATAAGAAGAAGAAGAAGGAATCTATATTTGCTGTTGATGTAGAGATGTTAAGCATAACTGCGGAGGCTGGGGATGGGGTGGAGGCTGAGGTGCAGATTCAGTCAATTTTCTCAGAGAATGTGGGTATTGGAGTACTGTTGGAAGGATTTATGCTTGGTTTTTGTGGATGTAGAATAGTCAAAAGTAGTCGGGTGCAGATATCACGAATACCCAGCATGCCTTCCACTTCATCCAGTGCGACACCAGCAACAGGGACTCCATGGGATTGGATAGTTCAAGGAGTTGATATACATATATGCATGCCTTTCAGGCTACAGCTCCGTGCTATTGATGATGCTGTGGAAGAAATGCTGAGGGCTTTGAAGCTTGTAACCAATGCCAAAACCAAACTCATTTTCCCAATAAAAAAGGAAAGTTCAACACCTAAAAAACCTGGGTCGAAAAAAGTTGGGCGTATAAGATTCGGCATTCGCAAGTTAATATTTGATATTGAGGAAGAACCCCTCCAGGGTTGGCTTGATGAGCATTATCATCTTATGAGGAAAGAAGCCTACGAGTTAGCCATAAGGTCGAAATTCCTTGATGAATTAATTTCCAGCGGAAACCAGGTTCCTAAAACTGGGGGAGATGAGTCAGACAGTGAGAAGAAACTTTCTTTCGAGGGAGAAGAAATTGACCCACAAGATCCTGCCATTATCCAGATGATGAATGAAAAATTATATAAACAATCGTTCAGTTCATATTACAAGTCTTGTCAAAGTTTAAGACTTTCAGATGGTTCAGGTGCCTGTAAAGACGGTTTTCAGGCTGGTTTTAAGATGAGCACTTCTAGGACATCTCTACTTTCTGTTTCTGTTACTGATTTGGATCTAAGTTTGACGGCTATTGGTGGAGGTGAAGCTGGGATGATAGAAATTGTTAAGAAGCTTGATCCTCTATCTGAAGAAAAAGACATACCTTTTTCGCGGGTTTATGGAAGCAATCTTCGGTTAAACACTGGAACTCTTGCTGTTCAAATAAGAGATTACACATTTCCTCTTCTCTCAACAGCTTTGGGTAAATGCGAAGGCTGTCTTGTGTTGGCTCAGCAGGTAAGACTGCCCTTTTCTCTTTAGCAAATATCATATCATTTTTCCCCTTTGCTTCAAAGCTAACCTCTTTTTTTCTCTGTGAGAAAGAGTTTCTTGAGGAAGTTTGATGTTTTCTAGAGCTTGATGCACTGGAACATTTTTTCCTCTGCTCTTACCTCTCGTTTCTGCATATGATGTTTCTTAGTTTATAAATCCAACTGTAAACGTAAAAAATTCACCTTCTAAGCAGTTTGAAGAAGTGTTGATCTAAGTATCCCATAGTAGCTCTGAGATATCTGCTGTGAAATAGAATGGAGTACTACCAATGGATTTCACGGATACATATCATTTATATTAGATATTAATGTTAGTAGTAAAAAAATCTAAACCATTATTTCCTTACATCATCAACGATGTGGGTATAGATGCATGAATTGTCGTTTCAAACGAATGAAATATTTGTTCCCACGTGCATCTTTTGTTTTTTGTTTTCCTGCTTTTTCCCATCAGTCTTTGCGCTCCCTCTAAGGTTCTTTAGTCTTATTCCTAAATTTATTTCTCTTATTTTGACATAGGCAACAGCTTTTCAACCCCAAATAATCCATGATGTATACATAGGAAGATGGAGAAAGGTGACGATGCTCCGTTCAGCCAGTGGAACAACACCTGCAATGAAAACATACCTGGACTTGCCGATACACTTTCAGAAAGGACAGATCTCCTTCGGAATTGGATATGAACCAGTACTTGCTGATATCAGCTATGCCTTCACTGTGGCTCTTCGTAGAGCTAATCTCAGCCTCAAGGGTCCTGGTCTTCTTCAGCCTCCCAAAAAGGAGAAAAGTTTACCATGGTGGGATGAAATGAGAAATTACATCCATGGAAATGTAACCTTGTCCTTTTCTGAGACAAAGTGGATTGTTCTTGCTACTCCAGACCCCTATGAGAAGCTTGACAAGCTCCAGATGACCTCTGCCTCCGTGGAAATCCAGCAGTCAGATGGTCGTGTGCACTTCTCTGCTGAGGACATAAAAATTTTCTTTAGCAGTTTTGAAGGTTTGGCTAGACATTATCCGAACTCTCCAATATGTCCATCAATCTACCCTTTCCTTGAGGTTCCACGTTTCAGTCTTGAAGTCCGGATGGATTGGGAGTGCGAGTCTGGAAGTCCATTAAATCATTATCTGTTTGCCTTACCTAATGAAGGAAAGGCTCGTGATAAAATTTATGATCCATTCAGGTCTACATCTCTCTCACTACGCTGGGATTTCACTTTAAGACCTGAGAACCCATCAGTATCTGCAGTTGATCAAACAAAAAAATTTGGATCCGAGAGTAAGCCTGAGAAATCTTCCTTTTCTCCACCCACAATAAACATTGGTGCTCATGATTTGGCATGGTTGATCAGATTCTGGAACATGAATTACCTTCCTCCTTACAAACTACGCACTTTTTCCCGGTGGCCTCGCTTCGGAGTTCCAAGAATCCCAAGATCAGGGAATTTGTCCCTAGACAGAGTGATGACAGAATATAATCTCCGTTTAGATGTTACACCTATTTGTATCAAGCATATGACACTGGATTCTAATAATCCTGCCAAAGGCTTGACATTTGATATGACCAAGCTAAAGTATGAAATCTGCTTCAGCCGTGGAAACCAGGATTTTACTTTTGAATGCAAGCGTGAGACTCTTGATCCAGTATACCAGGGAATAGACTTCCATTTGCCTAAAGCGTTTTTAAGAAGGGATCAGCATTGCTCAAAGCCAGCTCAGATGAGTCGAACTAGTTCACTATCTGGATCAACTGATAGAGTTACTTCTGATAATGGGACTTCTACCAGTGATGGCACGGAGAAGCATCCTGACGATGGGTTTTTGTTTTCATCTGATTATTTCACAATCAGGAGGCAGGCCCCTAAGGCTGACCCTGAAAGACTGATGGTATGGAAAGAAGAAGGAAAAATATATCGAGAAAAAGTAGATGCAAGATCTACAAAGGAGAGACAGAGTGAACCTGAGGAGAATTCACATTCCGATCCGAGCGATGATGATGGATACAATGTTGTTATAGCGGACAATTGTCAGCGTATTTTTGTTTACGGACTAAAACTATTGTGGAACATAGAGAACAGAGATGCTGTTTTGTCTTTTGCTGGTGGGATGTCCAAAGCATTTCAACCTCCCAAGCCTTCTCCATCACGTCAGTATGCTCAGAGAAAGTTACTTGAGAGCAGCCAGAAGCATTCTGAATCAGAAGTTTCTCAAGATGACCCAGTGAAACAGCCTTCCACAGGCAATGGAAATCTCGCTTCCCAATCTAAAGAGCCTGCGGAAGTTCTTTCACCTTCATCTGAACCAACTAAAACAGAGAACTTTGCATCTTTCCCACTTGGTAAGTCTTGCTGACTCCCCCCTATTTGTCTGTTTTGAAGCTACCATGTATAGTATCTTAGCCCTTTGGTAGTTAAATCTTAATCCGTTTCTTATTTGCATCCTATGTCCCATGTTATTTTCCTTAGTAAGCAAATTCACTTCCCATACATGTATTCTTCACCATATTTATCTATCTTCATGCAGGAGCAACAAAGACTGGCGATTCAAATGGTTCAGAGGAAGAAGGAACTCGGCATTTTATGGTGAACGTTGTTGAGCCACAATTCAATCTCCATTCAGAAGACATAAATGTAAGCATTGATCAAACTTGAGTCTTTACTACATTACTTCTGGTTTGCTATTAAAATCCAGAAGAATGCATGGCAACTTGAAATTTTTTCTTTATTGGCGTTATTTTGTAAAGCATTACCACCTCGGAGTTATATTCTATTACTCGCACTGTTGTCCTGTACGATTCTTTCAATTCCTGGACAGTTTCTTCCATATCTTGAAAATAGATAAAACTGTAAATTCTAACTCTCAGGTGATTCTGATAAAGTAGAATACTTAAAGTTGACCAGACCAGGTATACCAAATCTATGACATAAGTTTATCTATCCAAGCTTTAGGGTTGAATTTTGTATCGGTAAATGTTTTCAGATACCTTGCAGTGTTTTTTAATTGTCATCACTATTTACATTATCTCTTCATCTACCAGGGTAGGTTTTTGCTCGCTGCTGCTAGTGGCCGTGTTTTAGCACGATCATTTCATTCAGTTGTTCATGTTGCGTATGACATGATTGAGAAGGCAGCTCAAAATGAAAATGATCTTAATCCTGAAAATGGCACTGACATGACATGGACACGCATGGAAGTGTCCATGATGTTGGAGCACGTACAAGCTCATGTGGCACCAACAGATGTCGATCCAGGAGCTGGGGTGCAATGGCTCCCAAAGATTAGAAGAAGCTCCCCGAAGGCAAAGCGTACTGGCGCACTGCTTGAAAGGGTTTTTATGCCGTGTGACATGTACTTTCAATACACCAGGCACAAAGGTGTGACTCCCGACCTGAAGGTATAACCTTTTTAAGTGAAAGCACGATATTTGTAGTCTTTTCTTCTTTTGGAATGATTTATATGCATCAGCATAAAGGCATTAAGTTCAACAAAGTCTCTGTAGTCCACCAAAAAGTTATTTTTTCTGTTTTCTTTATACACAAAAGTACGACTGACGAGCATGTCTACAATTGTTCATACACTAATGTATAATGTTACTCTCACATATATTCCACACTATGCACTCGGCATTATCTGTGTATCACCCTTGTAACATTGTTTGAATGCAAGACTTATATTACCCTTATATGCTGCAGGTGAAGCCACTGAAAGAGCTTACTTTCAATTCTCGGAATATTACAGCATCGATGACATCACGTCAGTTTCAAGTTATGACAGATGTTTTGTCCAATCTTTTGTTTGCAAGGTTACCAAAGTAAGTGTTGCTGTGTGCAAGTTATTAACACTTCCTGAATTTTCTGCTTTGTAAATTCAACTTTTTTTGTTGTTGAAATGCATCCCCTGACTATATCTTATTACTACAAATGCATATGATTCAGGGCTCATAACGACAGTTTAAAAATTTCTGGTGAAGAAGATGATGAAGTTGAAGAGGAAATTGATGAGGTAGTTCCTGATGGCATTGAGGAAGTGGAACTTGCGAAAATTGAACTTGAAGAGAAAGAGAGGGATAGAATGATGCTTCTTGATGACATCAGAAAATTGACGCAGAGCGAAAGTAACTCAGGAAACATAAATCTCGAAAAGGAAAGCGATTTCTGGATGATCACTGGTGGGAGGCCAGTATTGGTGAGAAAAGAGTTATATAAGAAGTAAAAAAATTTCTCTGCATCAAATGTTATCTGGTAAACTAAGTATCTCATATGTAGGTGGAGCGACTGAGGAAAGTGTATCTCAGTGTGCAACAATCTAGGAAGACAGCATATACAGCACTGCGGACTTCTGTGAAGAATGCTGCGGAGCTAAGGCTGTTGGAAAAGGATAAGAACAAAAGACCATCCTCTGCCATGCGCATATCCTTACAAATCAACAAAGTCATCTGGTCTATGGTTTTAGATGGAAAGACATTCGCTGAGGTTGAAATAGACAATATGGTAAGCGATCGAATATAATAGATTAAAATACCTTGGCCGATGGCTGGTCGATCGTTTTGTTCATTCATTATCTCTCTGGATCTTTAGTAACAACTAATCATTGAACATAAGTTTTCTTAAGTTTACTGCTGTTACTTGCTAGCCTTGGGTGTTCTATTTAGACCAGCTCTGTTTTCTATATTTTTGGCAAGAAAATCCCTAAAATGTTTCACACTGCTTGCAGATTTATGATTTTAACCGGGACTACAGAGATATTGGGATTGCCCAATTCACAACGAGATATGTTGTCCTGCGGAACTGTCTGCCTAATGCCAAGTGTGATACTGTTCTATCAGCTTGGAATCCTCCTCCGGAATGGGGCAAGTGAGTTCCTTTCTTTTAAAACTAGCGCAAGTAAATTTTGGCTCTCCTTCACAGAATATATTTCAATCTTGGCTCTCATTTTTCACACTGCTAAAACTAGATATGCAGTTTTCATTTTACATATCTTTGGAGACTTGTAGATAATTCGTGAATGGTTGTGTGCTTGTAATCGGTAGATGCTCTTGCCACACTAATATGTGGTGCATTTGTCATTTTTATTAGTCATAGAAACTCACTGTGGAAAACAAACAGGTTTACAGCATCATGGCTGGAAAGTCTGAGTGTTATATTTATTGAATGCAGGAAAGTTATGTTACAGGTAGATGCAAGACAAGGAGCCCCAAAAGATGGACAGGCTCCGTATGAACTTTTCCAGGCAAGTCATTCTTTACCATATATGTTCTAATGACACTAATGATATAAGACTGAAGTTTATACTCTATTTACTAAAATGGAGTTCTTTTGTGTTCGCTTGACAGGTTGAAATATATCCTCTAAAAATCCATTTGACAGAAACAATGTATACAATGATGTGGGAGTATATCTTTCCAGGAGAGGAGCAACATTCACAGAGAAGGGAGGTTTGTTGTTTATCCATTTTACTTCTCTAGCTGATGGGATTTAGCTTGCTGCTAAGGAGTTATGACACGTGCTTGTATTTTGTATCCCAGGAAGTTTGGAAAGTGTCAACAACCTCAGGATCAAGGCGCAGGAAAGGTTCATTTGCTCAAGAAGCGGCAGCGTTGCTCTCTCAGTCTGATCTAGGCCAGGTATATTTTGCTTTTTGTTTTGTGGCTTTATTAGTTTTCTTAGCAGCTGCTACCCTAAATTTGGTATTCTTACATTCATATCATCTCTAGAAGTCTATATACCTATTTTCCTAAAATGATTTCAGGGGTCAAAGAATCAAAACCTGAAGTCAAGCACGATCCGTGGATCAGGGCGAGAACTGAGAAGAACATCCTCTTTTGACAGATCATGGGAGGAGACTGTGGCAGAATCTGTAGCTACTGAGCTTGTTCTATCTTCTATGGAGCATCAAAGTGAATCCTCAAAAGGCAAGCTAAAGGATTCAAAAACTACCAAGGCTGGCCGTTCAGTTCATGAAGAAAAGAAGGGGGAAAAGTCATTAGAAGACAAGAAATCTAGGCCCCAAAAGATAATGCAATTCCAAACCATCAAGATTAGTCAGGTCTGTCAGTTTGATTACCTCATTTAAGCAAATGGTCCATAATTTTACCAAGCATAATAAACTTAACCTTGTAATATGGTTCTGAGCTTTAGGTGGAACTGTTGATCACTTACGAGGGCTCAAGATTTGTTGTGAACGATATGAAGCTGTGTATGGACACATTTCATCGTGTTGAATTCAGCGGAACATGGAGGAGACTCTTCTCTCGAGTAAAGAAGCACATAATATGGGGAGTCCTCAAGTCGGTAACCGGAATGCAAGTAAGACCATTTACACAAGCAATAGATGCATATGGCTTATGTCTCCCTGATCAAATAAAACTCATGTTCATTTGATGGTATTTGTAGATGAAGAAATTCAAAGACAAAGCCCATGTTCCAAAAGATGAGATTGGTTTGAGAGACAAAGACGAGTCAGGGAGATCAGATCAGGATTCAGGGGCATGGGTGAAACGTCCTGGTGACAATGCAGGTGATGGATTTGTCACATCGATTAGAGGTATTTTCAATACCCAAAGGAGAAAGGCAAAGAAATTCGTGCTTCGGACAATGAGAGGGGAAACAGAAGACAGCTTCCCTGGGGAGTGGAGTGACAATGAATCAGATTTCTCTCCCTTTGCAAGACAATTGACTATTACTAAAGCTAAGAAACTCATCAGGCGTCACTCTAAGAAGTTCCAAAATCAAAACACCACAAAAGGTTTAGTATTATAGCAAGTTATGAGTTGCAAAACCAAGATAAGAGAAAGAAATAACTCTCTCTCTTTTGTGTTGTGTTGCAGGTTCTAAGAAGCCCCAACTCTCGCCTACTCTGTCTCCTCCTAAGGAAGAAGACCAATACGAATCCGACTCTTCCAGTGGATCGTCTGCTTACGAGGAGTTTCTTGACCAGAATCAGATTTAAGATAGAAATTCCAAATTTTGTTTCTTATAAATTTTGTAAAGAGTTGCAGATTATTACACTCTTTTGAAGATAGAATGCACCAACAGTACTAGCGTAGTGTTGATAAGACTGGTTTATTACATATGACTGGACATAGAAGAAGAAGGTTTTGTTTGGGAATCATACATATTGGTCATAACTCATACGTTAGAGTGTCATGTATGTACTACTGAATCTATTTAAGTGTTAGCAACAAATTGATACACAGTCACCGATATAAACAAGAAACGTTTCAAACACATCTCCATAACTTGTGTATTTATTTATTTTCTATTGTTACAACTACACGAGCTTGCCTCATTGGACAAAGCTGTGTTCCGTCTGATGAAGCAGCCTCACAGATACGCATCTAATAGTCATGTTAAAGCATCTGTCTGGTGAATATCATACCTACCTGATGTGCTTCTAACTAATCAAAGCTAGAAGGTAGATCAAAGTCTGTATCAGATGGATTAGCCAGATTGGCAAGAGGTTCCTGCATCCCCCAAAACTAAATTATTATAATGCTACTTGTGCCTTCTGTATATTGTTTTTACTTGTTTTAGAGAAATTATTTTACCTGATCTTCATAATCATCATCGGCCGATGCGGACAACATTTCAACAGGCAAATAACTGGCCAAATCTTCATCTGCTTCTTGCAAACCCTGCCCAAAAAAAGAAGAAGTCCGATAAAGAATTATGCGCACACCTTCGAAAGGGAAAACAATTAAGAATGAAAAGTAGGTCGTCATAACCATCCTAGATACCTTAATATCGGGATTGCCATTGGTTTCAATGGGAAGCTCTCCTATTGCTTTAGAAGGATCTACTGAAACTCCCTGCGAGTACAGCTATTAACCTTATTGATACTATAAGAGGTTTTTTTGAAAGAAAGGTATAGAAAGATTAGACAGCATACATCTTCGTCTTGCTTGCTTGAGTCTTCTTTGTACAGTGGTTTGATATCCATTTGGTTTTCCTGTAATTGTTTATTAAGGATAACTAATCAGACCAACAGCAATACAAAAAAAAAAAAACATTTGACATTAAACAAAACTACAGAATGTCTTACATACAGGTTCAGTCTGAGAAACAGAAAGAGTCCTGGCTCCTTTGCTGAGATCTCTCAACGTTCCCTGGATATTTAAACAATCAGATCACAGGGAGAAGACACAACTAGACAATAAATCAAAATTCACTAGAACGGCTTATAATGTTCAAAAAAAGAAATGGGTAGAACTACATAGACAACAAGGAAATGTTATATATAAGTCACGAAGGTCCACCGAGTAAGAAAATGGATTTACATGAGGAAGGTAAGGAACAGATGACTTTTTTAAGTCAGTATGCATACATGCTGATTTCAACTTATGATAGAAAATGAAAAGACTATTTTAAGCCCCTCTCCCTTGATATGAACCTAACCAACTATAGGTATACAAGATTCCTTCTTTTGGGAAATACGCCAAATTTGATTAATAAACCTGTTAAATGCTGATCACATCAGTATCAATGGTGTGTTTATATTATGTGCACTGAATAAAAAAAACAGCAACCATCGAGCTCAAGCGAGACAAATGGGAGGGCAGAGAGAAAAAGGTTGAGGGAGAGAGGACCTTATTGGCCCACATTAGACCACAAGCATTACACAAAGTCCTCGGTCCGGCTGGCCCTCGGCGCATTGCAGGAGTATTACTTTCATTAACCCCACAGTGCTCACATCTCCTAGTGCTGCATGATTTTGCCAATGAAGAAAGGGGTAACCCATCAGCGAGTAACATAAAATCCTTGTTCTAAATAAACTTGGAAATTGTTAAATCCACAACTCACGCAGTTTCAGAGTGCAATGTGCCATCTTGAAGGCCACTCTGGGTAGATTCCCAGTTCGAACCACCTGAACCTTCTCTAACGGATGCAAACTGTCCATTCTTACGGTGCATCCTGAATAACAAATCAGCCTTTAGCATCAATTCATTTGGCGACATCCAGTAGAAAAATTCTCCAAACTCAAAGTTTGCAGATAAACATTAGAAAAGTATAAGAAAAGTAGCCAAATCCCTACAGGGCAGCCAAATCCACACGTAGATTAAGTTAACAAGAAACTTGATATACCTCTGAGCAATTTCTTTTCGCACATTATATCTTATTTTCTTGTCAAAAGATCGTTCCTTACGCTTCTCACGGAACCTAACTAGAGAAGCTAGTCTTCTTGACAGATTTGATCGCCTGGGATTATTACCCACACCCTGAAGAACATATGAACGATAAGATAAACAACTGAAAAATCCAAAAGTTTATAACTCTAAACCCGCGTTAAATTACCCTGCTATTCTCAAATGGAAGCTCAAGTGTAGGAACAGCAGTAGGTATATCACGCCCTCCCAATAGCAAGAGAACAGTTTGCACCTGAATCACCACAAAGCATAGAAAAGAATAGTGTTGTAATAATGCAAGGGAAACTCAAACCTAAGTAAGACAGTCTCAAACAACAAAGCTTAGGAACGCAAAAACAGTGACTTAACCTTAAAGATTCACCTAATAAAAACTCAGTAACCATTGAACAAAACTTGCTCCAAATGCAGAAGGTATAACTAGCAATAGTCCTATGAACACTAATCCCAAAATACAAAGGAGAAGAAAAAAAATGGAACCTTGTGAGGTGTGACAGCAGGGAAGACATAGACCTCTCCTTCAAAAGAGAGAGTGAGCTCACTTGTTCTCGTTGAAACACCCTCTACGCCTATTTGCTCCGCCACGCAGACATCATCATCCATCAAATCGTCACTTCCTGCTCCGTCGTCATCATCATCCTCAAGTAGCTGTGGATTCATCGCAGCCTTCATCATTAACGAAACTTTTCTCAATTTAGAAAACCCTAAACCCCAATTTGGATACAAAAGCTCCTCTGGAAATGGAAACTAATTCAGGAAGATAAAATTAAATTGTTAAGCCTGTCTTTGTTGTGTTAAAAAAAAAAAAAAAAAAAAAAAAGCCTGTCTCTGTTTTCGAACTATTTAATTTAATTTTCTGCAATCGTTTTCGAAATAACACTTTTTAAATTGAGAAAAATGTCATTAAAATCTCCAACTTATTCAAAACGTTGATTTAAATTTTAATGGGTTGTGTACCAGTTACGGAAAATTTACGGAGAAGAGGAATTGATTGTGATACAGGTTGTGCCAGATGTGGCGAACCAGTGGAAACAATCAATCATACACTCTTTCAGTGCCACCCGACACGACAGGTTTGGGCACTCTCTCATATTCCTACAGCAATGGGAATTTTTCCAACGGAGTCTATTTTTGCGAATTTGGACCATTTATTTTGGAGAATACCTTCGGACTTTGACTCTTCAGCCTTTCCATGGATTATCTGGTATATATGGAAAGCAAGGAATGAAAAAATATTTAAAAATATTGATAAAGATCCGTTGGAGGTATTACGGTTAGCGGAAAAAGAAGCACAATTGTGGCAGTCTGCGCAAATTGAGCTTCATCATGAAACTCATGGTACCGTGGAATTGGTAAATCGGTCTCGAGTGGGGAATACTTCACTTGACTCAAATTATTCAGGATACCGTTGCTTTGTGGATGGATCGTGGAAAGAAAGTGATAAGTTCTCCGGTACAGGATGGTTCTGTACATCATCAAACGGAGAGCCGCCAACCATGGGAGCTGCAAATCTCCGTCGAAGTTTATCTCCATTACATATCGAGTTCGAGGCCCTTCTCTGGGCGATGAATTGTATGATAGGTGCAGATAATCAAGAGGTAGAGTTCCTTACAGACTGTTCTGATCTGGTTAAGATGGTGTCTTCTCCAACCGAATGGCCGGCGTTTTCAGTGTACTTGGAGGAATTTCAGAGCGACAAGGAAGAATTCTCATCATTCTCTTTATCTTTAATTTCTCGCAATGCTAATGTAAAAGCGGATCATCTGGCACGAAAAATTCGTACAGAACCGCTTCATATCACATTTGTAAACAACATTCCACAGGAATGGCTCTTTTGAGCTCTAATTAATTTCGGATGACAAAAAAAAAAAAAAAACTCACGACGAAACGAAATAAATATCAAACTTATGTTGACTTTCCAAATAAATATTAAACTTATATTGACTTTCCAAATAAACACCAAACTTTCATTGACTTGACCATATTAGACATGACGTTAAGTGAGTTAACAAACCATGTTAACGGGATTAATTTTCTGTTAACAGATCCGCTAATTGAAAATGACAGTATTCCTTCTAAACATAAAACGACGTTGTTTTGTCGTAACTGCTCAATAAAATCCCGAGTTTCAAATCATATGAAGATTTAGGGTTAGGGATTTTGCTCGATTTGGGGATCTAATATTGACTTTAGGGATTTAATTCAATCGTTACGACAAAACGACGTTGTTTTGTTGTTATATGAAACGATGTCGTTATCAATTAGCATGTATGTTAACAGAAAATTAACTCCGTTAACGAGATCTATTAACCCACTTAACGTCGTATCTAATATGGCCAGATCAACGGAAGTTTGATATTTATTTGGAAAGTCAACATAAGTTTGATATTTATTTGGAAAGTCAATATGAGTTTGATATTTATTTCGTTTCGTTACGAGTTGAGGATTTAAATCAACGTTTTGAATAAGTTGGGGATTTTAACGACATTTTTCCCTTTTTAAATTATACTAATAAATAACTTTAACATCATGAGTCATGACATAAGCTGCATAATTTGGCTCCCATCGGTAGATATAATTTGCTTAATATATATTTCCAAAATGAAAATTACGTAAAATTAGAAATCGTAAAATAAATTTTTGTGTTATTGGTTATATAAATAAATTTTCATGACATAAATAACTATATATTTATGTATTTGTATAATAAATTTTTACTTGTATTTCTTTTAAGCGAAAATGTAAATTTTTTGTTTTTACGTTTTGTTAAACATCATACAGATTTTATTTATTGATAAAATTTTTGTACAATCGCATTAAAAACGTCATTCTGACATTATACGTTTTTTCCAATTAGCTATAAAATGATCATACGGTTGATATAATTTGTAGACTTAGTCCAGTTACCGGAGTTAGTAGTGAGTTTGAAACTAAACCTGCCAAATCAAAGAAGTCCAAGTCTATCAAATCATTAGCACATACCATACTTAAGGTAAGTGTAACGTAATTTCTCAATTTACTAGTGAGAATTAAACCAATATGCCTTAATCTATTAATTTCAATGACAGATTTAGTATACTCTTGGTTGACTTTTAGATTTTTTCAATTATTTTTTTAATAATTAAAAAGATGTAGACATAACTTCGTACATTGTCTCAGGCCGGAGATCAAAACATTTAATATAGAACGATGTAGTTTTATCGTATGATATCAACAGACAACAATGGACTTGTGGAGACTGTAAAAAACAATTTGGATACACTTGAGTACACAACATTTTACATCAAATCGCGTAATGGACTTAAAATAAATTTCTGTGATTACATATTTTGGAGACAACTTAATTAGTTCTTTTAAACATGAGTTTTCCTTAAATTATTTAGTGTATTTGGTTTATTTGAAAAACTTGAAATGATAAGGGGATCCACGAAAGGTTGTTAAATGTTAAGTAAGCAAAAAAGTGAGGCTATTATTTGGGATACATCACAAATATAAGAGTAGAGACTGACGCAACCCGACCCAGCTCATATGCTGCTTTTGACTCCTTGATTCTGTGGACACAAGTGTCTCAAAGATGACTTATGAATAGAGACAAGTATTTTTTCAGGTTTAAGATGGGTTTGTACACAACAAGATGGGGAAAGACGTCTCTTGAAGGTTATGAATCTAAACATAAGCTTTTCTCTTTTTTACTCAAAGTTTGGATGTTTTTCTCTTGTTTATTCAGAGTTGGAAGCACTAATTTAGCCGATGTTTTGTATGTTAGAAGTTGAAAAGTGAAAATAGTTGTCTTGACATATTGTATTAGGCCTGGGATAAATACCCGATCCGAATTAACCGACCCGACCGAACCGAATAAACGAAATTCGGCAAAGCTTCGGGTATGGGAGCTATACCGATCGGAATAGATGAAATTAGGACTTCGGTTTTCTATTCGGTCGGTTCGGTTCGGGTATTCCGATCGGTTACCGACAAATACCGAAAATTAAACCTAACAATAAAAGCCAAAATTTTTTAACCCTAATCTCATTTCATCTCTTTCACTTCCTCGAGCCTCACTCTCGATTTGCGTCGGCGACGACTGAATCTTGTCTTCTTCGTCTGATTATCAGTGATTCTTCCTTGTTCTTCCTCCGATTTCGTATAAGGTGAGTTCGAAATCCTCTACTCTCTCTGTTTAAGTGTCGATTTCGATTTGGAATTTAGGGTTTCAGTCTTTGGGTTTGGGGCTTTTACGAATCGATGTTATTGCTCAATTTATCATTTCCGGTTGTGTCTGTCTAGGTATTCTGCTTGTTTCAATTCAAACTTTCAAAGACTCAAACCTTAATTCTCTTATTCTCTTCTATGTAGATGTCGGAAACTGAAGACAACAACGAAGCTTTTTTGGGTGAGGAAGCTGATGGTACTACAGAATCTTCTGCGGGAAGGAGAAGAAGACCCACGACAGAGCGATCAAGCAGTGATGTTCCAGCCGAAGAAAGCAAAGAAAAAGCAGGCGCATAGAGCTGAAGTTTGGCAGCATTATATTGAGAAGGAAGATCTTGTAGGTGTAGCTAGGTGTCGGTATTGTTCCCAACAGATTGGCTGTGATACTAAGTTACATGGGACAAGTTCCATGAAGAGTCATCTGCTAAGATGCAAGTTTTTCAAGGCACATCAAGATCTTGGTAATCAGAAGGTGTTGGCTGGTGATATGAGGGGTGCAATCACTACAGTTCCTTATGATAAAGCGCTTTTTAGGAGGTCAGTGAATGAGTTGCTTGTTTTGTGTGAGTTACCATTTGCATTTGTGGAGTCTGAAGGATTTAGGAGATTCTGTGCAAATATGCTTCCATTGTACACGGTTCACTGTAGGAGGACAGCAACTGAAGACGTCTTTAAGATGTTTCTTAGTGAAACAGCTAAATTGAAGAGTCTGTTTAGCTGTGAACAGCAGAGAGTGTCTTTGACGACTGATATTTGGGTTGCTCCTACAACTGCTTGCAGCTACATGGTGATCACTGCTCATTGGATTGACAGGGGCTGGGATTTGCAGAAAAGGATTATCTGGTTCAAGCCTGTGACAGATCATAAAGGAGACACCATTGCTGATCATCTTAGAGCATGTCTAGAGGAATGGGGAATTAAAAAGGTATTCACTATCACAGTAGATAATGCTAAAGGGAATGACAAAGCAATTAGGTTGTTCACAGATGCTTGTAGGTCGCTGGGGCCTAATGCATTAGTTAGAGATGGTTCATTAATCCATATGCGTTGTTGTGCACATATACTGAACTTGATAGTCAGAGATGGTCTAGCAAAGGTAAATGAAAGCATTGTAGTCATTAGGAATGCAATTAGGTATGTAAGATCATCAGGTGATAGGTTGAAATCATTTAAGTTGAGGGTTGAGACAGGTAAGTGTGGTAGAGGAAGCTTGTCTTTAGACTGTGTGACAAGGTGGAACAGCACATATCTCATGCTAACAAATGCTTTGAAATTTAGAGTTGCATTTGAGAAGTTACTCGCAGAAGACAAGCTCTATAATGACTACTTCCAGGAATCAGAAGAAGAGAATGGAGAGAGTGGACCAGAGGGTGCAAAGAAGAGGGTTGGACCTCCTACTTCAAAAGGCTGGGATGATGTGCAAAGGTTAGTAAAGTTCTTAAAGATCTTTTTCAACTGCACCTTGGCTTTTTCAGCCACTAAGACAGTTACTTCTACAATTTGTTACCATGAGATAGTGCTTATTGAAAGAAGTTTGATTAATTTGAGCATCAATGATGATCAAGAGTTGCGGCTTGAAGCAATGGATATGAGGGCCAAACTTGAGAAGTATTGGGATGGACTGATCAATATGAATCCACTAGTGATCATTGCTAGTGTGTTTGATCCTAGGAACAAGATGCAATTTGCTAATATCTGCTTTGACAAGCTTTATGGGAAGGATAGTTTGGAAAGTGACCATCTGAAAAGCTCCATTAAGAAGCTGATGAAGAACTTGTTTGAAGAGTATGTGCAGAGATTATGTAACAACTCTCAAGCTGAAAGTACAGGAAACAAGAGTGGAGAAGTCGATGATTTGGCACCGCTTTTGAGGAGGATGATGAATTAGAAAGTAGGGATTCATCGTATGATGAGCTGGCTACAGAGACAGTGAATGATGTAGCCACCAGTGAGCTTGACATTTACTTGTTGGAAAAGGCTGTGCCAAGGCAAAAAAACAGATTGGGTATGGACTATGATGTCTTATCATGGTGGAGACGCAACAGCCATAAGTTTCCAGTCTTGTCAGAATTTGTGAAAGATGTCCTTGCCATTCAAGTGTCTTCTGTGGCTTCAGAGTCGGCATTCAGTACAAGTGGAAGGATTTTGGATCCTTTCCGGAGTTGTATATCCCCTCACATGGTTGAATCTCTCATTTGCACACAACAATGGTTGAGGAATACCATTCATCAAGAGAAGCTTGCAAATTTGGTTCAAATGCTAGAAGAATTGGATTTCCATGAGTCCTTGGGTACTCAAATTTCTTGTTTCTTATAGTCTTTCTATGATTTACTAATTTTACTTCATATCTTATTGACTTACTTCATTATTTTCAGTTGCAGGATCCAAAACAGTGGCTGATGATGCAGACTTGCCGCCGTGATCACTTGAAGGGCTCTGTCTTTTTGGACCATCACCATGTGTACCCAAACTTGTCTCTCTCTCGCTCTCTCTTTAACTCTTAACTCTCTATTCTGATATTATGTCTTTTGAACTTATGAAATATGAATGTTGTTTGTTTACTTTTGAACTTTTGGTAATGCCTTTTGGATGTTGTTTGATCAATGGTGATGAATGATGATATTATATTTCTTATGATTTTTGTTTGTTTGATTGCATATTGATGAATTGATGATAATAGCAGGTAGATATAAGTAGAAATGGTGATTTTTATTTGCATAAAATTGTATTTCGGTTTAAATCGGTTAAATTTTGAAAAACCGAAATAACCGATTTCTGAACCGACCGAACCGAAATCAATTTCGGTTATCTTCGGCATTATTTAAAATTTCACAATTAACCCGAAACCCGAACAAACCGACCCGACCCGACCCGAAAACCCGAACTCGCAGGCCTATATTGTATCATATATGGAGGAGTTTATGAGGGTAATTTTTTTTGGTTTCTTCACCCTTTCTTACATATTACGAAGGTTAAATTCAAAAGTTCATTGTTAGCGGCTTTAGCGTACAATGGTAGAATTTTTACTTAAATTTAAATTTAATTTAATTTATTTTGCTGACTGTAATAAATAAAGTAAATAATTTTTTACTTCACATTTTCATACATGAATTTTGTTTCCTCAATAAAAATTCATGATAACATCAATAAAGGTAGTCCCAATTTATTAAAAACCTTTATAAAAAAAAGTTATTAACAACATATTTGATATATTATTTTGTAAGAAAATTAGAAATTTCGATTTATACGTACAGTATATTTTAATTTTTTTTCTTTAATCGTCTTTCTTTTTTCCTTTTAAATCGAAATTTTGATTGAATTCTCCAGTCTACTTGCTACAATAGACTGACTCTTTTCCCTCTCTAAGACCTTTCTTAGTCTGAAGGAAAGAGGAAGAGAAAAAGTTTGGTTGGTTCCACAGGTGTGATCGGTGTCCGATGAAGCCGGTGTTTGCTGTGGCGTGTGGCCAGTGTCTAATGAAGACGGTATTCGTTTGATATGCATATTTACGTCAAGGATTTTGGTCCTAATGATTTTCTTCCATGTTTTTTTTTTTACCGGAAATATCTTCGGCCGTCATCTTATCGGTCCAAAGTCATTCACTATATTTGTGGTTTGGTAAATCTTTTTTTTTTTTTTTTTTTTTTGGCAAATGTGGTTTGGTAAATCTATGATAGTTTTTATAATAATAATAAAAAAAAAGAAAAAAAAACAAAGATTGAATTCTCCCACGGCAGCCGTAATGGACAAGTCAAAATCATATCAACAACGAGATCATGATGATGATGATGACCCTTTACTTCTCATAAACCCAACAAGTTCATCAACATAACGAATATTCTCATCCATGTTTCCAAACAAACCCTTCATCACCTTTGCCTTTTCCCTTATCTCCTCGCCAGTATCATCAATCATCACCAATCTAACCGAGTCAGCGACCGATTCAGAACCAAATGATCCATCTCTCTCATCTCTTAAAACCTCAACACCAAGTCCTTTCCCTTGCAACAACCTCGTGTTAAGTCCTTGTTCATTCAACACCGGCAAAAAGATCGGAACTTTACCAAACCCTAACCCTTCAACAACTGAGTTCCAACCACAATGTGTCAAGAACCCTCCCACTGACTCGTGACTAAGTATTTTCACTTGTGGAACCCAACCAACATAAACCATGCCACGTCCCTTGACTCTTTCCTCGAACCCGTCTGGAATCTGTGGCTCGTTCCTTAGAACCCAAAAGAAAGGTGTTTCTGACTTCTCCAACCCAAGAGCTAGCTCGGTGAGTTCCTCACGACGAAGACTTGCTTCAGTGCCAAGTGACACGTAAACCACTGAGTTGACTCGTTGCTTGTCGAGCCACTCCTTTATACGAACCCATGTAGTATCATCGTCGTTATCTTCAATAACCGGAGGAAGAAACCCGGTTGGAAAAACCGGTTTACTGTACAAATCTTGTAGTAAACTAAACCATTCCGGTTCAAACTCGGGACAACTACGGACAAAAACCGCATCACTCCCGTCAATCGTGTAACCAAACCGGACAGAGTCAGAGACTCCGGTTACATCTTCCTCTGTCTTCTCAACGTATCTACTGACTTCATGATAACGAAACACGATGTTTGACTTAAACGGAACCCACGGAGGCACCACCGTGAAATCTTCCGGCGTTGATCTAGATTCCTCAATCAACGACGAAGACGGTCCCATGAAACAGAGAGTAGCTGCGTTAAAGAGACTAAAGAAAGCTTTCGAGATTCCAAGCTCCGTTGCAATAGAAGGAAGCCAGTGAGAAGCGTAGTCATATATGATCCAATCCGGAGAAGACCGTCGGAGAAACTCTTTCAGTTGTGGCTGAAGAAGATCAAAGGCGGCTTTGAGAGACTGTTGCTTGTTGTAAGGAACGTCCATGGAGGATTCTGAAGAAGGAGGCAAGCCGGAGATGGAAGGGAGAGGGAAAGAGACGAAGGTAATGGAGGAGGAGAGGTTTGATGGTAATTTGGGAAGTCTTTGGATGTTTCTTGGTGTAGATATGAAAGAGATTTTGTGACCCTTTTGAGCTAGTAGCTTGGAGAGACGAAGAAAAGGAAGGAGATGACCCATAGCTAACCATGGAAACATGGCTATGTGCATAACTTCTTCTCTCTTGTCGTCCATTTTTTTTGTTATTGTCTGCATCTTCAATTAACCATGGACATATGTTATGGAATCCTAGCTAAGTATCCACTACGTGATGGAGAAAGGAATAAATTCATGATGGGTCTGATTGGTAACAAGCTGTTAGCTGTTAGCTGGAGCGGTTAGCTGGAGCTGTTAGCTGTTAGGGAATAGTGCAAAGCTGTACAAAAGAATAAAACACGAAAGCTGTACAAAAAAATAACGCAGAACAAATTTTAAAAATTTACTCTGATTGGAAACATCATAGCGGTACACATAATAAATAATATTAAGAATTTAGAAAGAAAAAAAATTACATAGAAATGTACTTTAGTATATAATTACATATGAAAATTAAGATTATATAGAATGAACAATATTTTATTGTTAGAATAATAATATGAATTTACTAGTCCTATAATAAATAAAAATTTTCTTCATTTTGAGCAATATAACATTCCAAAATAATTGTTTGAGAAAAAAACCATTATTTCTAATGAGATTTTTTTCATAGGCAGTATTATTTACTTTTTCGGAAATCTTTATCTGAACATTCGAGACTTTTTTTTTTGCATTATACATAGTTACAATTATATTTTATAAAGTTTAATTATGCGGTTAATAATACGGTTAACCGTGCGGCTAATCGTACGGTTAAATAACGGTTTTGATACGTTTCCGGTATATTAACGGTTACAGTTAGTATATTTTTTTTAACCGTAACTAATCTAGTTTTACGGTGAATGGTTATGGTTGAAAAACGGTTCAGTTACGATCCAAAATACGGTTACGGTTAGCTTTTGGTCCAGTTACGATCCAAAATACGGTTACGGTTACGGACCGTTTCTCAACCGTAACCGTATAAAACGGTTAAAAACCGTAACCGTTAACCGTAAAAAATAATTAGTTACAGTTAAAAAATATATTAACCGTAACCGTTAATTAACGGTAAACATATGAAAACCGTTATTTAACCATATGGTTAACCGCATAGTTAAAACTTTAAAAATATAATTGTAACTCCATATAATGCAAAAACAATTATCGAATGTTCAGATTAAGATTTTCAAAAAAGTAAATGATACCGCATATGAAAAAATCTACGTTATAAAAAATCTTTTTCTCAAACAAATATGTTATACTGTTATTTTGCTCGAAATGAAGAAAATTTGGTTTGTAACATACTTTTTGATTTTATGAAAAGTATTATAATAAGTTAGGTAACTCGTAAGATTTCGCCTCCGATATTAACCGTATTGTAGTCATTAAATAACTATAACCGTAATTATCCGTAACCGTATTTAACCGTAACCGTTATAACCGTATTTAACCGTAACCGTTATAACCGTATTTAATCGTAACCGTATTTAACCATAACCGTATTTAACCGTAACCGTTTTAATTTGTTTTTGTTTTTGTCCAAAAAAAACTGTTTATGTTATAGTGTACCGCTTTTCATAAAGTTTTTGTGATTGGTAACTGTCAAAGCTGTACAAAGCTGTACAGCTTTATTTTTGTTCACCAATCAAAGCCGATATATATTAGTTTTCATTGTTAACCAAAAGTAGAAAAATTATATGTAATGTTATCTTATTTTAAATATAAAAACGGCTAATTAGATTTCGTAAGTATATAACTATAATATCAAATTTATATTTAGTATGCATGATAAACCTTACGACGTCATATTGTTTCTCGTAGAAAAATATTCATATTTCCTAGCTACAGAAATTAATGAGTTTTCTTTTATAATACTTTTTGCAAGTAATTCCCCAAAAATAAAATAAATTTTTTTGAAAACGAATAGCGTCACGGACAGTTGGTAGATGAATTCTATAGTTTTAACTTTTAATCAAATAGTAACATGCATTGAAAAAAATAGTAACATGGAATAAATAATAATCATGAAGAAGAAGAAGATAAAAATGAGGCCAACAAGAGAGATGTGAAAGAGACCGAATTGATTCATAGCACACTCCAGATTTGGGAAATGGGGGATGTCCTTCTCTCTCTCTCATCATCCCCACTTGTCTCCTATCTTTTTCTCTCCATCAAAAATCAAATCAGTTTTAGAATAAACTAGAGATATATATATGAATATATCCAATGACTATAGCAATTAGCAAGTGTTTTTTTTTTTAACTTACAAATATTTACATAAACAGATTACAAGTCTTTCAGAAAAATTTAATATTATTGTAATAGTTAATGTTGATCAAATATTGTATTATAATAATATAGTTTGAAGTTTGAACACAAAAACTTAAAAAATCTATATATAATAGCAATCTAATAAATACCAATTGCACATCTGAATGGTTGCGTCTTTTTATAGCAACTTTTCGTTAATGTTTTTATTAATTAAAATATATATTTTACGGTTATGTTTTTTTTATAAATTGCATTTTGAATGTTTTATACGGTTGCGTTTTTTATTGTAACTTTTCATAAACAGTTGAAACCGCTTATTCGAATCATTGCAATATTTAGTTTATTTTACGAACAATTGCAACCTTTGGTTTATATATTTAGTTTATTTCACGAACAATTGCAATTTTAAGTTTATTTTATAAATAGCTATAACATTTAATTTATCTACCGTCGCGTCTCTCGGTGTAACTTTTCATAAATTATTATTTTAATTCTTAATTTTTAATTACTAAAGTGTATTTAAATAAGATTGTAACTATTTAATTGAACTGTTTCAACATTTGGATTATTTGACGAATTATTGCAACTTTTGGTTTTGTGTTACGAACCATTGTTATCTTTAGTGTATTTGATGAACTATTGCAACATTTGGTATCATTGACGAACCGTTGCAGTTTTTGGAATATTTGATATCTACGGTTGCGTTTCTCGGATAAGTTCGTCATATTTTTAAAAAATATTTAAATACTAAAATATATTTAAATGAATTGTTGTTACCGTTTAATTTAACACAATAACAATTGGTTTATTTGACGTTGAACGTTTTGGCTTATTTATCAAACCATTGTAATATTTGGTTTATTAGTTTATGCTTTTTGCACTTGGGAATAGTTTTTTAGTTACAAATTATTGTTTTCTAATATTAATATACTTAATAAAAGCTTGTGAGAGTTTTCTTTATCATAATTTTTGTAAAATATATATTGATTTGTTATTAAAAAAATTCAAAATTATTACAATTCATTATGATTTTTTCGTTTGATATTTTTTTAAATGATTTTTGAAATATATTCCCCCGCGACATCGCGGGGATCCTGAGTCCTAGTAATAATAAGAGAAAGGTCAAAAAAAGAGAAGAGAGTGTGAACCCACAACAAATAGACAGAATCAGACACATATATATTTATCTTCACTTGCAATTCCCAACTAGCGGCGCCGCTCTCTTTTCTTGCTTTCAAAGCTCATCTTCCTTCTTCCCTATCCTCTCATTTCTCTTTTTTCTTTTTATAGCAAAAAAACATTTTTATTTTATTTTTATATATATAGAAAACAAAGAAGCAAATACTTTTTCATTTTATAATTTATCACCATACCATTTCCCAAAGGATTACGAAAAGTCCCTCTCCTCTATCATCTCTTTATTCACCCCATACCAACAACCTCTACATCTTCTTGCTCTTCTTCCTCCTTTTTTTTTTTATCATTTACACAAAAATCCAAAGACAAATCTCTAATAAACAAATCCATAAAAAAAGAAAAACAAAGATGAAAGGTGAATACAGAGAGCAAAAGAGTAACGAAATGTTTTCCAAGCTTCCTCATCATCAACAACAACAACAACACTCTCTTACCTCTCACTTCCACCTTACCTCCACCGCAACACCCACCGTCGATGACTCCTCCATCGAAGTCGTCCGACGTCCACGTGGCAGACCACCAGGTTCCAAAAACAAACCTAAACCACCTGTCTTCGTTACACGTGACACCGACCCTCCTATGAGTCCTTACATCCTCGAAGTTCCATCGGGAAACGACGTCGTTGAAGCCATCAACCGTTTCTGCCGCCGTAAATCCATCGGAGTTTGCGTCCTTAGTGGCTCTGGCTCCGTAGCTAACGTCACTTTACGTCAGCCTTCTCCGGCAGCTCCTGGCTCAACCATAACTTTCCATGGAAAGTTCGATCTTCTATCCGTCTCCGCAACTTTCCTCCCTCCTCCACCACGTACTTCCTTGTCTCCTCCCGTCTCTAACTTCTTCACCGTCTCTCTAGCCGGACCTCAAGGACAAATCATCGGTGGGTTCGTCGCTGGTCCACTTATCTCCGCAGGAACAGTTTACGTCATCGCTGCAAGTTTCAACAACCCTTCTTATCACCGGATACCGGCGGAGGAAGAGCAGAAACACTCGGCGGGGACAGGAGAAAGAGAGGGCCAATCTCCGCCGGTGTCTGGTGGCGGTGAAGAGTCAGGACAGATGGCGGGAAGTGGAGGAGAGTCGTGTGGGGTATCAATGTACAGTTGCCACATGGGTGGCTCTGATGTTATTTGGGCCCCCACCGCCAGGGCTCCACCGCCATACTAACCAATCCTTGCCTCACAAAACTCTCTTCTTTTCTTTCTTTTATCTTTTTGTTTTAGAATGAATCAAGAAACTAGGGTTTTTTTTTTTTTTTTTTTTTTTGGCTTTTGATCATGAAGAATCGTTTGCTTTTTTATCTTCTTAGATTTTTGTATCAGAATTGACATATCTTTCCACGGTGTAATCTCTTGGTTTTATGGTTAGCTTCTTCTATGCGGTTGCAAGTTCGATATTAATTTGATTTGACTCAGATAAATATGCTTCCAACTTCCAATTGTCTTCAATCGTATTCTAGAGATATTTAAAATATTTGTCTCTAATGATTGTTTCATTTTAATACTCTTATTGGATAAATATGCTTGTTTTATTGGATCTTCAAAGTGTGGCTGTATATTAATGGTTTATTTAATGAATAACATAGCAATTAGCTAATTTTCAAGATAACATGGCTATTTTTATCTTCCACACCATCGACCTTACAAATTTGGCTGCATTTCAAGAAAGCGGGCTACTTTATCCTCTACTTCATCGACCTTACAATTTTGGCGGCATTGACCATATACTTTTTGTTCCCATAACAGTTAAATACAAAAAGTAAAAAATGTACGAATGGTTTGTTTGCATGTTATAGGTTGGTTTCACAATTGCTTTTCTTTCCAATTTACTCGTATAAGTATTTATAAAAAAAATGTTATAGATTAACCACAAAAATATAAATACGTTGATAAGATATGAGAGAGCGCAAATTTGTTTCGGTGATTGCAAGTTCAAAAAAAACAATAACTATGCATATACGTGAAGCATTGATTGGACACTGTTTGGCTTTGTCTGAATGTGTCTTGATGTTTGGATTCATGTCCCTGGTCTCTCTCATATATCCAGAAGTTTGAAGACTATACAACTGCAATGTCTGCAAAAACACACATACCTATATATATAAACACATTCAATACCCACTTGTCTTTTCAGTGCCCTCTCTTTTTATCTCTCTATCTTTAGCTTTTTTTACATGGGGGTTTGGGTTTGAAACTTGCAGGAAAGGAGAAAGAAACGTGACCAAAATTCGACAACCTTTTCTTTTTGGGTGTCCATTTTCCTTTCATTTTGTAACACCAGCCATATAAATTAGGTATATATTATTTTAATCTGACTATCAAGTAGTATGTACTAACGAAATTTAGTTAAAAAAAAGATTAGTTCCGTAAAAACGAAGTTTAGTATCATCAGATAAAACAATTAACCTAAGACATTAAAACAAGTTTAATGTTAAAAAGCCAGTTTTGGAAAAACTATATTTGATCTTCACTAACTCTTCTAAATAAGTCGAGAATGCAAGGTAGTCATCAGGAGAGAGATGAGAGAATGTCATCTTTACTAACTTAATAAGGTACCTAAATTGTGTTGGATTTTACTCTCTTGTCACGTTTTTGCTTGGGTATTCTCGTGACCAATGTGTCTCTACGCAAATCTTCGATCCCTTTGGACTCCAACCCATATTGCTTCTAACCATTTCTCTTAATATAACTCATTTCATCGCACTGTCGAACCGTGCTCTCATACCATTTGTCATAGACAATTTTTATTTTTTTAAATGAACAAAGCTCCTTTTGCCGCTTGCAAATGGCTAAGTAAAAACATCTCAAGAAAATGAACTAGACCGTCAAAAGGAGCATCTGTTTTGGGGAATTCCTTCAGAGGTAGAGGCCGTGTTCTTTTCACAGTCGCGGCGACTGCGACAGCGACACAAAAATTGAAAGTCAGAAACTCATTAAAATAGACTTAGGATTGAAGATCCATACACCCAGCGAATGTCGCTACTTTATAAATGAGTTTGAGAGGCTGCCGCTGTCATTTTCAGCGTCTCCGGAATCACCGGAAAAGAGTCGCAGCGACAGAGAATGAAAGAAAGGAAGAAGAGATTAAAGAGAGATGAAGGCTAATTTTGGATCGCCAATCGCTATCGCTGCGACTTTGAGCGGAACATGGCCAGACTCATCTTCATATCCATGGATAATTAATTTGGTATATTTGGAAAGCAAGAAATGAAAAGACCTTTGAAAATGTGGATAAACATCTATTAGAGGTATTACGTTTAGCGGAAAAAGAGGCGCAATCGTGGCAGTTAGCTCAATTCGAGCTTCATAATGAAAATCAGGTTTTTTCAAACTGCGAAACTCGAGCTCGAGTGAGAGATATTTCACATGATATTATCTACTCCGGATATCGTTGTTTCGTGGATGGATCTTGGAAAGGGATTGATAAATTTTTAGGAACATGGTGGTTCTGCACATCATCAAATGGAGAGACGCCAACCATTGGAGCTGCCAACATCCGAAAAAATATTTCTCCACTACATACAGAAGTGGAAGCTCTTCTCTGGGCGATGAAGTGTATGATTGGAGCCGACAACCAAGATGTAGCTTTTTATACAGACTGTTCAGAGCTGGTGAAGATGGTGTCTTCCCAAACCGAATGGCCGGCCTTTTCAGTGTATCTGGAAGATTTTATGAGCGACAAGGAGGAATTTTTCAAGTTTCTCTTTATCTTCAGTCCCTCGAAATGCAAATGTAAAACCGGATAATTTGGCACGAAACGTTCGTACCGAACCACATCATATCACTTATGTAAACAACATTCCTCAGGAATGACTTTTTTGAATTTTAATTAAAAGCCGTTGACAAAAAAAAAGAACTAGACCGTCAAAAGGAGTAATAACCGGAAAGAGAGAGATAATTGGTGGATGAATACAAACAAGGATCCAACCCTGGCCCTATTCATATCAAAATGAATCCAAAACGGTTGGTAAGAAAAATTCAAATAAAACGGTAATTTAGATTGAAAATCTAGCATAAACTAAATGATCAAAATTAAACAAGGGTGGGTTTACATGGATAATCATAAATAATGATCAAATGGATTGGGCAGATTCTTAAACCCTTGTAGATGTCTCTCTAAAAACCCAACCCACGAAAATAAAATTAAGTAAAACGAGTAAATCTCAAAGCCCGACCCAATTATTCGACAAGACAAGAAAATAAGTGTTCTTTCTTCTTTATAAGAGCAGGATTATCGGGAGTGCCTTAAGGAAATCTTAGGTTTTAATGTGATTTAATTTAAATCAAAATTGGTTATTACAGCTAAGGAATGTTCCTTAGTTAAGGCACATTTTGTGTCTTAAGAGGTGCCACGTGGCACGTGATCATTGGGTGTTTTTTTAATATATAAGCGGAAAAAAACGAATCTGTGTTTTTTTTTTCCTTTCTTTTTCTCTCTCTCTCACTGAAATCGCGATACGCTTAAGAGAAGAAACCAAAGGCGATTTGCGAATTTCAACTTGTATCGGAGGAATCTCCGACCGCCGGCCGTCGTTCTTCGGTTTGGCCATCATCTCCACCGCAACCGGTTGTCCACGGCGTCTTCGGTTCACCAGCGAGGTTGGGTTGCGAAATCGGGGAGAAAGTCACCGGATCTCCCAGTTTCTCGTCGAAATCGGAATATGTATCATCAGTTATGAATTATTCAAAGTATGCATGTCTATCTGATTGTTTTGAATCGATGTATTTAAGTAATTATTCAAGGTTCTGTTTTCTTGAAATGGAGAAAACACTGAGATGTGTTCGGTGGGGTTATGAGGTTAATACCTCTTCTGATGATTGCATCGACGCAATTAACTCTTATTTTCAACAGGTTCTTCTTCAATTATCCCTCTTTAGTCACTCACATATCACATGAAATTGATTGGTAATAACAGACTTACAAGGCTTGAGATTCGTGTGATGCGAATTGAGAGTGTTCTACGGAATCTAGATTGTGTTTCATGAATACAAGTATCAATTTTGATTCCTTGATTAGATTTTTGACTAGGGTTTGTTCATTTTATGAGTCTTGATACATTTTTTATTCACTATGTAGCTGAATTTTTGATTTTCTTCTTAAAGTTTCCATCTTTGTAATTTCATCCCATTGTTGATCATGTTCAGCGGTTGATGAAGGTTCTTAGTTATGGGAGGAAGAGTAAAGTGATTCTAGAAGCGCCATTGTATGATAAAGATTGTGTTTTGGGCAACATTTTGTTTGCTCATTACCTTTCTTCATCTGATCCTTACTTTTTCTTTGTTTAACTCCATTTGCTTTTTCTTCAGGAACAATCTACACCTTATGAGAAAGCGGTTTACGAGGCTATTACTTACCTGATATCCGAGGACAGGGATGACGACTTGGCTTTTGAAATGCACACCAAGGTTGGTTCTTACTTCCATTGTTAGTTTTATCTTTTTGAATTTGGCACCAATGGCAATACAAGTATTCAACGGTTATGGTTTGAAATGTAAAGTTATGTGGCTTTCTGATGATTTTCAGGTCCTAACTACACATGCATATGCTCTGAAACTTCTTGTTGTTAGTTTGCTATGTTATTTTCGAGTCCCTTGTTTGAATCAAAATTGTGGTTTGCAGCTACTTAATAGATTCCCGAAGGACCTTGCCTCTTTGAAGAGAGCACATCTTTTATGTTTCTACATGGGTCAACCTGATCCCTTTTTGGGTCTTGTTCAGCAGGTGCTTAAGAGGACAAGTCTGAATCTCTGCCTTCAAATTTCTTCGGAATGATGACCAATAGAGCTCGTGTTCGTGATAGAGGTATGCATCAACAATTGAAGAATGATTTGGTCGAGCATATATGGACAAAATATTCCAGAAATTAAGTTTAAAACATTTGTGCTTTATGTTATTTATGTTATAAATTGTATCTCATTTATGTTTTAATTTTTTTAATTTGCAACAATTATTAAATTTTCTGTAATTATAAATTTTATTTTTATTAATATTTTTTTTTCTAAGAACCACATGTTAAGAGCTTACCATTAATCACACAAAAATCTTAACTCAAAAATACTATCTCTTAACAATCACTTTTACAAATAAATTACTTAAATATTGCTAAGATTAATTTCTAAGAGATTACCTATAATCATGCTTTAAGCTTCTTAATTATGTGGTCTCTGTCCAAAAAGATTATACTATAGGTCTAGGAGTTTTGTGAGTTTTTTTAATAACATAGCAATTCGTCGAAGAAACTTGTTTAAAGCATCTAATTCACGCACGTCACAGCTCACACATAATTAAACAAAGTTCCATTTTTTTGATAACGTTAAAAACAAAAAACAAATTAATTGCAAGAAACAAAAAAAAGGAAGAGAATTTGCGCGAGAGACAACAACAACGATCAGTCGTCGTCTTCTTTTCTCAGATCTTCGTGATTTGGCGATTCCTCAACGGATTCTATGCCGCAAGAGCTTCGATTGTATCCTCTCTGAGGATTGAGAGACCATGGACATCGATAGCAAGAGCAAAGGAAAACGAATTTACAAAGATAATATTCGTGTAAAGCGGAAAAATTTGCAAGCTTTACTCAATGATTGCCAGAGAGCCCTCGAGTTGTTAAACCTAGCCGAACCCAGTTCTGAAGAAGATGACGAAGACGATAAAAGCACCGGCGAGAGAAATGGGTCACAAGAGGAGGAATCGAACAAGGGAGATCCTGAAGCTGATGAAGTAACTAATTTTCTTTTAAATGGCTTCAATTTATGCATCTCTTCACATTTCTTCTTTGATTTATGTCTTCAAGCTTTAAATTTTGGAACTTTTTAGTTGATTCATGTGTTTGTTCTTCCTTGTTCCAGTTATATGATCTCATCAAATCCAGGGTTGAATGTGATGACTTCCTTGAAAAGATTGAGTCAGCGCAGGTTTCAGCGCCGCAAAATCTTGCTGGTGAGGACTTGAATGTTTCATCTTTGCTTACAAATTTCAAACCTGTAATTGTCTGTCTTGGTTGTATAGATGATTGTGATTTCTGGTGTTGTAGAAGATAGTGGCGCTTGGGATGTAGTTAGTGAAGATGATCTTTGGGATGATGAAACCATGGCTCAAAGGGAAGAAGATTATGTTCTTGTTAGTGAAGAAGATATAGCAGAGGGTATTGCTTGTTTTATGGCTACTTATTTACAATCACTTAAGCAGACAAAGGTATTGAAAGTCCAACTTCGCTTATAATTTGTTCGTTTTATATCAGCCTTTCATTTGAGTTTATACAAGTTGCCATCATTGTGCAGGACTTGACTCCTGAGCAGCTTCAGAAAGGTATTCTAGACTCTCCATTCGTAGGCAACGTTCGAATGCTGTGTATCTCAATGATAAGTAGATATAAGAGTTGGGTGTTACATATAGCCATGTCACTGTCGCTAACACTAGAATTCAGAAATCAGAACTGTTGGATCTTTAGAGGAAAGCAAGAGTATATTTGTACGGCATTCGACAGACCGATAAAGGGCATCAATTGTTTTTGGGAATTGGTTTTGGGGTTTGATTGGTCATAGGAGTAGGGGGGGCTCAACAATACATCCCTAGACTATTCTGTGGTTATATATGTGTTCTACAATTCAGTAGGAAATAGAGTTTACCGGTACCAATCTTAACAGTTAATGCTCAACTAGGAAGCTGGTAATTGCGCTAACACAAACAAAGACCAATAAGTCGCCAAGTTCCTTTCTTTAATGTTGATTATGTGTGAAGTTGATCAGCGTGGCATACCAGAGTAGTAAAATCATAACAACAGTGTTTTGAATTGTAATGTAGCACTTAGCAGGATGTTCTCAGTGAAGAATAGAAAGGGGAAACTTCGGAAAGCCTGGGATGGAAGTAAGGTTGCTTACAACGTAGCATCGTGGAGCGCAACTGTTATTGGGTATAATAATATCATCCAGTCATCTTCTTCATTGCAAAATCGACGATTCCCATTGTTTATAGTTCTCACCAATCGATGCATTTTTTTTGTTCACTTTACCAACAGTATCTACCAAAACCCGGTGATCCTCAGGGTTGCATCAAAGGCCTTCTGGGCGTCGTGTCATGTAATATCAAAGCTTGTCTGATTGATGACAAAGCCTTTCGAGCACATCTCGCCTTTGTGATACGATAAGTTACAGTTTAATTTGGGTTCTCCATGATCTATGTAAATTAAATTTCATCATGTATAAAGAATGCCATTTGTGATTCCGTTCTTTACTGCACTATTCTTTCTGCATCACCCTTTATATCCATAAAACGAATAAACGCATGCTAGAATCATGCTAAAGCATAAAGTCACGTATATGCATAAACTACAGTTATTATTCCAAGTTGATCTCACACTTGCACAATAATACTCCCATAGTTAAAAAGTTTAAGACAGTTCATTAAATTGTTTTTCAAAGAATACAAGTTTGTATCAAACATATACAGAGTAAAACGGATAGATATATATGATATCTCACAAGAACAAAAGAGCAACCCCAAAAAAGAAAAGAAAGACAATGCTTGTGGTAAAGCAACCCACCCCGGGTTTGTATCTAGTAAAGCCAAATGAAATCCTTAGTAGTTGGTTATGGCTGACTTGTGTTTAGCTTCTAATCTTCTGGTCTCACTCACACCAAATCATTCTTACCTCATTCATTCTTTTATGGCAGCGGCGACAGAATCACACAGGTCTAGCTTTCTCAAGGTTTCCATGGTGCTGGTGGAGGCGGCGGAGTAGGGAACAATGGAGGAACAGCTGAGAAAATAGTGTTTTTGTCTATCTTACCGGTGGCTTCTGCTTCACCCGACAATGCCACGAGAGCTGCGACCAGACCAGCATTGCCTGCAAGAGTCGGTTCAGTGTAGTTGTAGTTCATACGGACATCACGGAACCCGTCACGCTTGTCAGGACCAGCAACCATGGCTCCTTCAATCGTGTTTGGGTTTGGTTTCTTGCTGTCTCTCCATTTCCATCCTCCTTTGCAGTTATATTTGACTTTGTTCTTGGGTATCGAAGCTCCTCTGTGATGCACATGTTTTGGGTATTTTGTGCCAAAACCAACGACATAACTCATTTTCCGAGGGTTTTTACCGAGTACATAATCAATCTGTCAAAACACAGCAAGGCCGAGTTAAATCCAATTCTTTAGGGGGGCAAACTCAAAAATGGAGTTTAACAAGGTTTTCGTACAATCTTGGTTAAAAGTGTCATTTTTCGATCTTATCCATTACTATATTGGAGATTACCATTTCTGTAAAGGCAAAGATGCATTACCTGGGATCTAGCAAAGTCACGTAGCACACTAGTCGAATAGAAATTAGGTCCACAGTACCATCCCGGAGTATCAGCAGCATCCAGATAATCACTGTATAGTGTCGCTAGGAAAGCTGCATTCACAGAATACTGCAGAGGCTGAGGGGCTCCATGATTCAACTCTATTAAACCTCCTGCACATACCAAAAGTTGCATTTTAGACATCCAAAACAAGAACAGGCCCAACAGCTAGAGTTTATTAGAGGCAGACATTGAAACTGGAAGGTAACTAACCGTTGGTTCTGTTAAATTTGTTGAAAACAGGTAAGTATGAGCACATGACTATGCTAGTCTGATTGTGGAAGGTCCTTAGAATTTCTTCATATGGATATCCAGGACTCAGAAACAACCTCAACCGGCTCAACAGCAGCTAAATAGCAAAAGGGATTCAAAAGAGTCAAGAGAAGTATGATAAAGGCAAATGATCAAGAAGAGTAAGTTGTTCTGTGGACTGACCTGAGCACCAGCAAGCTTGTTGTCCCAACTAAAAACACCATAGTAAGGGCCACCCCAGAAGGCACCAGCATGCTTGGCCATAGTGGGTTGGGTGATTAGATTGAGATAGGTTACGTTTCCTGTAGCATAGTACAACCAAGCACCACCCCAAATGAACTCATCCCAATACATGCTTGAATTATAAAACTTGCTAGATTCCGCAGTGCCTGCACTGTATCTCCCTCTCCTCGTCCTTCCAAACTGATAAACCGTCTTAGCACCATGAACAAGCTTTTTAGAATATTCCTTGTTATCCTTGAATACAATGGACGCTGAAGCCAGAGCAGCTGCCATCTCTGCAGCGAGATCCGAACATCCACCATTACACGTACTCACAGGCCTTTTATAGTCCATATCCTCAGGCCGCATCCAACAGTAATGGTCATTAGGATCTGTATTCCCATCATCAGTATTCCCTGATCCGACCTGCGATAAACATATGATGAGTTAACTAAACAACTAAGAAACCAAAAGACGGAGATCTCCTACAAACGTCATAAACTAGTAGTACCTGTGACACAAGATCATCAATCGAATCAGCAGTACTATTGAAAGTCTTGAGAAAGTAATCAGTTCCCCATTTGATCAGCTCCTTAACATGAGTAAGCTCACCCGCAGCTTCGTATTTAGCACTATACTCAATAACACTCCAGCTCAACATAGTCATAGCATAAGCCATGGGGAAATTGAACTTGATAGCATCACCAGCATCATAATAACCTCCCACCAAATCTTTATAGAAGCTTCCTGTTTCACCTTTCCCATCTTGAAGCCCAGAATTACCTCTCCACGACACGTTATTATGCTTTGGCAATTTCCCAGCTACAGAAACCAAAACCATAACTCAGACTTAGATCTAAAACTCTTATCTCTAAACGATCAGATCTAAGTAGATTTAACACTTACATTTCTGAGCATTGAAGAACTTAAGAGCTTTATGAAGAGCTAATGTATAATTATCCGGCGGTGGACTCTTAGGATGATGACGCGGCACAGTTTTAACGATCAAGGTAATAAATCCGGCGAGTAACGCGGCGGCAACAAGAGTACCAACAGTCCAGACAAATATCTGGCGGCTAACGATAATACAACCGAGATCGACATACTTCTTCTTCTTCTGCTCCGTTGGACCAAGTAACCAACTCTGCTGCGTCTCATCGAGTGGCCGTGAAAGAGCCGCACGATCTAAATCGTTCAAATTCCGACTACGATCATCGTCGGTGGCGGAATCTGCAGTGTTGATCTCCAATGGACCTCCCCATGGATCTCGTCCGTACATGATGATGCTCTCTGATGAAGCAGCAGAGAACAACAACAATGAATCACAGTTTTGGGATTCAGATCTGAAGAAGGAAAGAGAGAAAGAAGAAGTGTGTGGAAGTGAAGATATGTGAAGCTAAAAGGCTCTCTAGTCAATAATGTACAAAGACTCTGAGAGAGATCTGGTTTTGGTTTTGATTCTTTTTATTAATTTTCCTTATTAAGTCTTTACTTCAATTATTTTCTTATTATATGTTTTGTTTGGTTCATTTGTACATGTTACGTTACAGCTAACACTAATTTTGGACATTTTTTTTTTTTGGCCAACTATATATGATTGAGCTCTATGGCCAACTTGTAAAATCTTATGGTAGAAAGTATACTACTATTTATTTTTCCTACAATTAAATATTACTTTAATTTGTCGGAGACATTTAAATATTATTTTTTATCCACCGTTTTTTTGAAAAAAATATTATAATTTTGTTCAAAAATTGCATATACTTTGTTTACTAGTAAAGCAATGGGCTAATGTCGGGTGGATGAAAAAGACACTTCTCCTAATAAACTGTCGGTGGGATGCTAATTTTATTTTATTCTTATGATTATGGTGTTTTCCACGTCATCATTTTGGTGGGCTCTTTAGACTCTCGAGTCATGATACTAATTAAAAAATATTTACAAGAAGGTAGGTTACTTAAATTCCACTTCTATTTGAAAATGATAGTCTACCACAAAATTGCTTTCCTTTTTTTTTTTAAATTTTCCATTCATCATAGGGAAAAAACCCGAAAAATACCTTATTTATTTTTTATTTGGACGTTTAATACCTAACTTTTTTTTGTTGGAAGAAAAATACCTTCTTTAATTATAATTGGTCGAAAAATACTTTATCTTTAAATTGTTGGTAGATTCAAACCTCTGATTTAACGGTCGTTAACGGACGTAACGATATAGTAAACGACGTTAAATTATAACAGAAAAATAGCCGAAAAATACCCAATCTATTTATTTTTGGAATTTTAATACCCCAACTTTTTGGTTAGAAGAAAAATACCTCATATAAAATATCTTTGTCTAAAAATACTTCATTTTAAATTATTAGTGGATTCAAGTCTGCGACTTAACAATCGTTAACAATATTACAGAAACATTTAACGACGTTAAATATTAACCCTGTGTATATAAATAGATATATACAATTTATTTTCAAAATTTTACAAATATATTGGTGTGATCAAAACTCAATATTACTTCGTTAATACGATCAAAACTCAATCTTTCTCGAACTATTTCTTTCATCTCTCCACTTTTACCTAAATTCTTCTCCACTTCCGCAACTATGCTACTCCACGACCACAAAAATGAAAAATCCATCGTCGTCGTCATCTTTGTCACAATCTCTCATTTGTTAGTTGCAGAATCGTTACATTCCATCATCAAAATCACTATCACAAAAACTCTTCTAACTCCAACGATGTCTTTAGGAATGAAAAAATGATGTATTTAAATTTGTAGGAGTGAAGCAAATGATGTATTTAAATTTGTATGTCATTCATTAAAGAAAATAGGAGATCAAAAGAAGTTCTATGCGGGTTAAAAATCATACGTGTTACCATTAGATCAAGCAATATATTTGTAAAAGTTTGTATAAATATTGTATATACTAACAATTCAAAAATGAGGTATTTTTAGACAAAAATATTTAAATGAGGTATTTTTCTTCCAACCAAAAAGTTTGGGTATTAAAAATCCAAAAATAAATAGATGAAGCATTTTTCGGCTATTTGTTTTGTTATAATATAACGTCGTTTACTGATACCGTAACGTCCGTTAACGACCGTTAAATCAGAGGTTTGAATTTACCAATAATATAAAGATAAAGTATTTTTCGACCAATTATAATTAAAGAAGGTATTTTTCTTCCAACAAAAAAAAGTTAGGTATTAAACGTCCAAATTAAAAATAGATGGGGTATTTTTCAGGTTTTTTCCCATTCATCATACCAAAATTTCACTTACACTAGCTAAAACTTATAAGATAAGTGTGTCCGACAAATTGATGGTAGATCAATGACCTAAAAAAAATTACATCATGAGATCATTTATAGGATTCAAACGGATTTAAACGCTTACATATTAGATAAGAACTAAGGAGAATTATGGGAATCTAACTTTTGATTTCAAATAATTTACATTCGTGTTAAGCTAAAGTGTCATCATCATAAAATTTCTCAAAAAATTTCAGCCCAAAATATAAAAATAGATTTAAGAAAATCGTAAAATATATGTTCAAAATTTTACAGCATAGAGAAAAAAACTCACTGTTTTACAACAATTACATAAAATCGATTTAAACTATCTTAAGACATGGTTCAATTTCCAGAATATAATTCACTTTAATTTGGGTTCAGATAAGATAATATCGGGTTTTGAATATATATATATATATATATATATATATACGGTGATATAATGTTTATACTAATACAAATCATTAGGATACATCTCTTGTTTATTTTGGATTCGATAATATTGGCACAAAACCCATGTTAGACCTTTGAAAAGTATTGTAACCTTGTTTTTATTTATTTTTGCCAAGGTTGCTTTTTTTCAGATAGAGCTTTTGTAATACCTTAAAATTCATTTTAGTGGTATTTACATTTTTAGCAAAAAAAATATAAAAAAATATATTTATATATATATATATATATATATATTACCCTTTAATATATCTCTACTTTAAAAGAAAATTCCAAAAAATATACGGGCAGCTATGTAATTTTAGGCCTTATCAGCTTGCATTTAATTAGTATTAAATGTCCAAAGTACAAACAAATACCAAGTGTAGAACTAGAAACCATAGAAGATGCTCATACATTTTGATTACTACTTATGCATGAAAACAGAAAGATAAAACATACACATATCAACCATAGGCTGTTTCCATAATTCATAAAGACTACGATTACCTAAAATATATGCATCAATTTTTTTGTCGAATTTTCCATAATGTTCCTTGGCCTTGAAAGCATCGTTAGAGATCGAAACTGTGGCTGTTGAAGTGGAAAAGAGGATGATTCGCAGACCGCCAGATGCTATGTGACCGTATCTCTTTGGCTACGGTCGTCTGAAGAGTCGCTGGACCACACACTATTACTCCAACATCCACACTTCCCCATTTCCCATTCAACGACTCAAATATCTCTGCAATTACAAAATTAAAATATAACCATAACGGTTTAAAAATTTAACTAAACCGGATGGAGCCAAAATTCTACACCAAAAAGGCAAAAACCTGATCCAAGAATTGAACCAAAGAAAATTTCCGAACAAACCGTTACCGATATCAAACAAAACCGATAAAATTCCGAATTTTCTAGCAAATGTTTTCTGATTAAACCAAACTTGAACCGAAAACTGTATCAAACCAAACCGAATGAAATTCTGTTTTCATTCTGTTTCTATATTTTATAAACAAACAAATTGGAACCAAGAAAGCTGGATTGGTCCCTTAATGTGTACTGTACCTCTAAAGTTCGGTCTGGTGCCATAACGAATAGTGGTGTAACTCTGGACATCTTCTTCTGTTGCCAACCCCTTGAGCTCTGCTGCAGATGAATTATAGGTTTCTTCTCCATTCAAATCCACCTTGTCATTGCCATTTGCTTCCACTTTGCCTGTTTTGTGACCCCAGAGATGCCAGAAAACAACCACAAGGCCTCCAAAAATCAACACACTTGAAACCATACAAACAACAAATAGAAGTCCCTTGTACCACCACGTCGTAATGTTGTATTTTTTTATGTAAAAGATGTCCAACAATGTGATCATTGCAATAAACCCAATGGTGGAGACAATTAGATAGAGTCCAGACCATATGTTATCCCCTGTACCAACTAAAACAGACATCGAACACCCGTTGGTCCGTGTTGGTTTGAGAGAAGGATGCACCACCTTGTGAACCATCCCATCTTCCTGTATGACAATGAAACAAAGCAGAATTCAACAAACTAAGTAAAGCCTATTTCAGCTCCCAAAAGAGTTATGTAAGACTTACCAAGCGAGGCTCGGATTGTCGAGTGACATATATGTGAATCTCAAGGTTTAGTTTCTTAGAGAAGAAAGGGCAAATGGAAGGTATGTCAATTGCTGAGAGAAGAGAGAGCTCGTCTGAGTTTTTAATGGCCCATACAAGTAAAACCTTACTAGGTAAACAAGCTTTCCCATCTCTTTTACGATGTAGGATATCACTTAAGATGGCGAAAAAAGGCGTAATCCCGATTCCTCCTGCTACTAAGACCAGGTTCTCATACCTGCACTCGCAAATAAACCTTTCTTGAGTCAGGTTAAAGCTTATTGTATTGAAACAAGTTAGATAGACGATGCATTTAAAGGCATTACGCTAAGTGGTATGGAGATTCATGGCCATAAGGTCCCTCCACACAAGTTGTAATTTTGGGATATGACTGAGGAGAAACAAGCTGGTCTTGATTCTCTGCCTCATATAGATTTGACAACTGGTCTCTAAGCTTTGCAGTCCATCCACCAAGAACTTTTATGAGAACCGCAACATGATGGTTCCCATCTAGAGGACTTGATGAAACACTGAAAGGATGCCATTGTAGCCAAGATAGTTCCCTCACTTGAAGAAAGATAAAGCTAAGCGCATTGTATCGCATATCTGATTTTCGCGGTATTGAAGAGGACAAGAAATCAGTAAATGTTTTAGATTAGATGTAGAAAACAGAGATTAAACAGAGTTGTTACTTGGTGGTTTTGAAAGGACTAGTTCCAGAGTGCCACAAGGTAAACTCTTTGCAGAGATTACATCTACAGTCCTTCTGGATTGGCAGAACCTCAAGAAGCGGTCGAGAATGAAAAGGAATATTCCTCCAGCAACTATACTGAACAAGTAGTCACCAACGTGAAGTGCCAAGAAGACGACAAAGACGATGTATAGTTGATGGGTGTAGAAGAAGAGTTCAAAGTTATTCTTTCTCACGGTGTGAAGCGACGTGACCCACATGAGTAAACCAGCCACTAGACTGATAACTCCGGGTAAAACAGCAACTCCAATAGCATTCCATGAAAATACCTGAGAGGAGTAAGTAGTTGATGATGAAACTTTACGATAGAAAACAATAAGATATAGAAATGAAATTGAGTATAGACCTATCTTGAACCGATGATCAACTAGGCTATTACTATCATGTCAAGATTGAATGTTGCAGGAAATCTTACAAGCTCTAAAAGTCGACCTTGAATGGTCCATCCAACAACATAACAGAGGCCATGTAAAGAGAAGAAAGCCATAGTGATATGACCAAGCCAAACATGATACCGTGTAGCATGTTCGAAAGGGATATCGATAAGGCGGAGAAGAATGGAGCCTCTCGAGATTGGAAGAAACAAAAAAACCATACACAACAATCCAATCACTCCTAAACGAAGACCAGTTACCTCCAACAGCAGAATACTGAACACACACACACACACACACAAAACTAATGAATGGAATGAGTAGATAAAAACAAAGATGGGATAAAGAAGGAAAAGAGTTTAAGAACCTTCGATTCTTGGGAAGGACGTGGAAGCGTTCAAGAAGATCAAGATTCCTCAAGGTATAAGCATATATAGCCCAAAGGAAGAAAACAGAGAAGACCATAATCCCAAGAAACTCAGCTGCAGAAACAACTCCAAATGGTCCATCCACAAGAACAGGAAATGTCCATAGCCTAAACCTCGGGAATTTCGATATCTTGTTTCTTCACAATAATCATAAAAACACACATTTATGCAAGAACAAAAACTGATAAAAACCAAAAAAGTGCAATTAGATATTATTTATACGTACTTAGTGAAGACCTTGTCTTCTCCGGAAATAATGAGATAGAGAGAAGCTAAGACAGCGATGACAAGAATCGGACCACTGAAAATTAAGAACATGCTTCCTACAAATTTAGACAATTGGTAGATGAAATTAGTTACACTTTCCGGAGAAAACAAAGCAAGTGATATATATGGTACATAGATAATGTAACCTGTGGTGCCGAGGAACGTTTTGGAGGCGACTAATGTGAGGAAATCATCGCCGAGTTGTTCAGGGTACAATATCATAAGAAAAACAACCCAAGTCACAAAAATCATAGACATTACAACTTTCAATATCCATTTCAAAGATGAAGTCACCACAGATGATGATGATGATGATGATGATGATGATGAGTCCTTGGACAAAAGAGGGGTTTTATGATCATTCATCTTTATTTGAATTTCTACTTCTCAGTGTTGTGATGAGAAGTTGGCTCAGAAGCAGCATCGGCTTTTAAAGAGGCGTTACTAGAGATAAATTAAGAAGATATTCTTTAAGAGAGTAAGAGCATGATTATTGGTAGGCTCTTAAGACACCTCTTAACTTAAGAGATATGTCTTACAACTAACAAAAGTCTCATAAAGAATATCTGGACCAGTGGGGTTTCTATCATTCTCATAAATAAAATATTCTTGTAGACATCAATCCTAGTACACAATAAAAAATTAAGTTCAAAAGAAAAAAGAAAAAGAGAGAGGGTCATTAACACGTGAGAGTAACGTACTTGGGAGAGAGTGTCACGTTAGTTTGATTTGAACCACAATTTAGGGTAAGGTGAGAGACTGAGAGTACTTACTACTTAGTATAGATAAGATGATTATTATGACGACTATGATGTTTCTTGGATAAACTACATTACTTGAATATGAACAAATAAAATATCAACGTAACGCGAAAGAAACATTATTCGGATTCCACATTCAAGATCCAGGGAGATAAACTTGCAAAGTTTCATTGTTATATAGATTGTTTCTGGTAAAGGACACTATATTAAGCTAAAATGCATATATTACGACGAAGAAACTAAGAAATCAACTATTAGTGTGATACCAAAAAAAAAAAAACAACAACTATTAGTGTGTTAAGTTTGCCAAGAATAATCAACTATCATGCATGAAGTTGGATCAATCTCGAACAAACAAGTTATAATCAATCCAAATAAAAACTTAGATGCATAGTCTATAAATTTCTTCCGCTTTTTAGTAACCGAAACAAAATCCAATAACAAATGAAAGCAACACCTAGATAAGATTACATGTCGACAAAACGGCAATAAGAAATTACAATTAAATCTCATGAAGTTGTATGTGTAGACAAAAAATGTTATAATCAGCTCTAGTGTAAAATTTGGTTTCAACCACACTTTAGGGAAGATGAGAGTATTGACTATCGAGTATGGATAAGATGATTATAATGACGATGGTAATGGTTGTTGGACCAGCTAAATTACTCAATCAGAAGTTTAGAACAAATATTATATATCAACGCTCGAAAGTAACATTATATATGTTCCACATTTGGCGAAAAAAAAAAATATATATATAGGTTCCACATTTAAGATCCAGAGGAATAAACTTGCAAGGTTTCAGAATTGAATTGTTCTGGTAAAGACACTATATTGATTATTAAGCTAAATTTTATATATTAAGTTATTAACTCAAAGGAACTAAGAAATAGCTAGGAAATCAACTGTTTATGTGTTAAGTTTTCGCTTTTCGGAGGATAATCAACTATCATGAAGTAGCACCAATCTCAAAAATCATATATAATAGCTGTTTCCATAATACATACAGACTTTGATTACCTAAAATATATGCATCAATATTTTTTCGAATTTCCATAATGTTCTTTGGCCTTGAAATCATAGTTATAGATCGAAACTGTGGCTGTTGAAGTGGAAAAGAGGATGATTCGCAGATCGCCAGATGCTATGTGACCGTATCTCTTTGGCTACGGTCGTTTGAAGAGTCCCTGGACCGCATACTATTACTCCAACATCCACACTTCCCCATTTCCCATTCAATGACTCAAATATCTCTGCAATTACATAATTCAAACATCAAATAAACCATTCAAAGATTTAACTTAACCGAATCGAGCCAAAATTCTACACCGAAAACCTGATTCAAGAACCGAATCAAAATCGGAATTCCTTTGAAATTTTTTCTTAGAAAACCAAAACCGTGTCAAACCAATCCGAATGATTTTCAGTATCTATGTTTTATAAAAAAAAAAAAACAAGATAACCGGATATGACACCCTTAATTTTGTACTGTACCTCTAAAGGCCGGTCTGGTGCCATAACGGATAGTGGTGTTACTCTGGACATCTTCTTCTATGTCCAAGCCCTTGAGCTCTGCTACAGATGCATTATGGGTTTCTTCTCCATTCAAATCTACCTTGTCATTGCCATTTGCTTCCACTTTACCGGTTTTGTGACCCCAACGATGCCAGAAAACAACCACAAGGCCTCCAAAAATCAACACACTTGCAACCATACAAACAACAAATAGAAGTCCTTTGTACCACCACGTCGTTATGTTGTATTTGTTTATGTAAAAGATGTCCAACAATGTGATCATTGCAATAAATCCAATGGTGGAGACAATTAGATAGAGTCCAGACCATATGTTATCCCCTGTACCAACCAGTACTGACATGGAACACCCGTTGGTCCGTGGTGGTTTGACAGAAGGATGCACCACCTTCTGAACCATCCCATCTTCCTGCATGACAATGAAACAAAGCAGAGTTCAACAAACTAAGTAAGGCCTATTGCAGCTCCTAAAAGAGTTATGTAAGACTTACCAAGCGAGGCTCGGATTGTCGAGTGACATATATGTGAATCTCAAGGTTTATTTTCTTAGAGAAGAAAGGGCAAATGGAAGGTATGTCAATGGCTGAGAGAAGAGAGAGCTCATCTGAGTTTTTAATGGCCCATACAACTAAAACCTTACTAGGTAAACAAGCTTTCCCATCTCTTTTACGGTGTAGGATATCGCTTAAGATGGCGAAAAAAGGCGTAATCCCGATTCCTCCTGCTACCAATACCAGGTTCTCATACCTACACTCGGAAACAAACCGTTATTGAGTCACGCTAAAGCTTATTGCATTGAAACAATTTTAATAGGCGAAACGCATTACGCTAAGTGGTATGGAGATTCATGGCCATAAGGTCCCTCCACACAAGTTGTGATTTTGGGATGTGACTCAGGAGAAACAAGCTGGTCTTGATTCTCTGCCTCATATAGATTTGACAACTGGTCTCTAAGCTTTGCAGTCCATCCACCAAGAACTTTTATGAGAACGGCAACATGATGGTTCCCATCTAGAGGACTTGATGAAACACTGAAAGGATGCCATTGTAGCCATGATAGTTCCCTCACTTGAAGAAAGATAAAGCTAAGAGCATTGTATCGCATATCTGATTTTCGCGGTATTGAAGAGGACAAAAAGTCAGTAAATGATTTAGATTAGAGTTAGAGAACAGAGAGTAAACAGAGTTTTTACTTGGTGGTTTTGAAAGGACTAGTTCCAGAGTTCCACAGGGTAAACTCTTTGCAGAGATTACATCTACAGTCCTTCTGGATTGGCAGAACCTCAAGAAGCGGTCGAGAATGAAAAGGAATATTCCTCCAGCAACTATACTAAACAAGTAGTCACCAACATGAAGTGCCAAGAAGACGACAAAGACGATGTATAGTTGATGTGTGTAGAAGAAAAGCTCAAAGTAAAGCTTTCTCACGGTGTGAAGCGACGTGACCCACATGAGTAAACCAGCCACTAGACTGATAACTCCGGGTAAAACAGCGATTCCAGTAGCTTTCCATTCAAATAACTGAGAGGAAAAAGTAGTTGATGATGAAACTTAAGAAAACAATAAGAATTGGAAATGAAACCATCTCAAAACCAATTGGTATCGACCCCTATACTTATATATCAGAATAACTAGACTTTACTGTTATGTCAAGATTGAATGAAGTTGCAGGAATCTTACAAGCTCTAAAAGTTGACCTTGAATAGTCCATCCAACAACATAACAGAGGCCATGTAAAGAGAAGAAAGCCATGGTGATATGACCAAGCCAAACATGATATCTTGTAGCATGCTCGAAAGGGATATCGATAAGGCGGAGAAGAAGGGAGCCTCTCGAGATAGGAAGAAACAAAAACACCATACACAACAATCCAATCATCCCAAAACGCAGACCCGTTAACTCCAACAGAAAAATACTGAACACAAAAACACTAAAAAAAACCAATGATTGGAATGAAACAAATAGCGAAAATGGGAGAAAGAAGGCAATGAGTTTAAGAACCTTCTGTTCTTGGGGAGCACGTGGAAGTATTCAAGAACGTTGAGATTCCTCAAGGTATAAGCATAGATAGCCCAAAGGAAGAAAACAGAGAAGACCATAATTCCAAGAAACTCAGCTGCAGAAACAACCCCAAATGGTCCATCCACAAGAACAGGAAATGTCCATAGCCTAAACCTCGGGAATTTCGATATCTTCTTCCTACACGATCATAAAAACACACACTTATAGAAAAAAAAAAAAACCAAAACCACAATCATTGTAGTAATACCAATGATTTAGGGTTTATATTATTTTATACTTAAACCATTGTAATCAACACAATCAAATCAATAAAATAGTTAAAGAAATCTCAACCGTACGTACTTAGTGAAAACCCTCTCTTCCCCTGAGATGATCAGATAGAGAGAAGCTAAGATGGCGATGACAAGAATCGGACCACTGAAAATTAAGAACATGCTTCCTACAATTTAAGATAATCAGAGAGTGAAATTAGTTACACTTTTTGGAAAATTTTCGGAGAAAACGAAGCAAGTGATGATGTAATGTAACCTGTGATGCCAAAGAGAGTGTTGGAGGAGATTTCTCTCCAGTTTGTGAGGACTTGATCACCGAATGATCCAGGGTACATCATAAGGAACACAACCCAAGTCACAAAAATCACAGACATTACAACTTTCAATATCCATTTCAAAGATGAAACCAACACTGATGATGATGATGATGGTGGTGACTCCTTAGACAAAAGAGGGCTTTCGTGATCATCCATTTTTCTTTGAATTTCTACTTCTCAGTGTTGTGATGAGAGTTGGCTCAGAAGCAGCATCGGCTTTTAAGGAGGCGTTACTAGAGATAAATTAAGAAGATATTTTTAAGAGAATAAAGGAAGAAAATTTCTGGACCAGTGGGGTTTCGATCATTCTCATTTATGAAAGATTCCTTCGGACATCAATCCTAGTACACAATAAAAAAACTAAAAATAAAATAAAATGATAGTGTCAATGTGTCATTAGGACGTGAGAGTAACGTACTTGGGAGAGAGTGTCACGTTGGTTTGATTTCAACCACAATTTAGGGTAAGGTGAGAGACTGAGAGTACTTACTACTTAGTATAGATAAGATGATTATTATGACGACTATGATGTTTCTTGGATAAGCTACATTACTTGAATCTGAACATATAGTATTTTAACATTGTTCGGATTAGCGCAAAAGAAACATTATTCGGTTTTCACATTCAAGATCCAGGGAGATAAATTTGCAAGGTTTCATAGTTGGATTGTTTCTGGTAAATACACTATATTAAGCTAAAATGTATATATTAGTAAAATTTCTAGAGAGACTAGATATAATAACTAAATAGCGGAAACGATTTAAACAATAAAGAATAAACGATACGACATGAGATTTAACGAGGTATCTGTTGGTTCTCTTTCAAACCAACCACTAGTCCTCGGTACAATAAGAGTTTATTAGATCATTTTAAGAAGTACAAGATAGACTTAGAAATTCAACACAATTCTAATACATCTATTTAAGAACATGAACTAAGGTTAACAAGTAAACTCATTTTACTCCCCCTTAATCATGTATGCATTCTTTTTGGAGAAGTCTTTGTGTTGTGCTCCTCACACCAAGCAATCTCTTCGCAAAGTGATCTCTCCCAAACTCAACAGCAAGTCAGCAACACAAGCTTCACACAAACTTATCAAAGACTCTGTTTTATGTTACTCTGTTTTAACATCACTCTTGTGTATCTTTTGGAAGACACAACACATCTTCTTCTTATAGAAAAATTTTTCACGACTCTAACGTTTCATTCTTTTCTACACAAGGAAAGAGATCAATCACCACTTAATAGAATTAACGTTAGAGAATAATATATCATATAGAAGGAAAGTCAAATTCTACAATATTAACACAAAAGAACTAAAAAATCAACAATTAGTGTAAAGTTTTCCAAGAATAATCAACTATCACGAAATTGCATCAATCTCGAACACACAAGTTATAATCAATCCAAAGTAATACTTAGATGCATAGTCTAAAATTTCTTACACTTTTTAGTAACCGAAACAATATCCAATAACAAATAAAAGCACCACTTAGCTAAGATTTACATGTCAACAAAAGGGCACTAAGAAATTATAATTAAATCTCATGAAGTTGTATGTGTAGACAAAAGAAGAGTTATAATCAGCCCTAGAGCGAGTAAAGTTTGATTTCAACCACACTTTAGGGAAGGTGAGAGTAATGACTATTATGGATAAGATGATTATAATCACGATTGTAATGGTTGTTGGACCAGCTAAATTACCCAATCAGAAGTTTAGAACAAATAGAATATCAACGCAAGACGAAAGTAAGATTATGTAGTTTCCACATGTAATCTGGGTCATAGTGTGCCTTCCTCAACCACAGTATCTTATTTTGATTTTGGATAGACTTATTAGGCCCGCTTAAGACGACCTAAATTCTTTTTTGATAAAGTAGAACCAAAGTGAACCAGATTTGAATAAAGCCCATTTAAGAAAGGCCTATTTGCTTGCAGCTCTTAGTTTTGTCGAGTTGAAGCAGAACGAAGAAGTCGCCTCTACGACCATCGTCGTCCCATGCAGACGATGAGGGTAATGTGTTTGGTTTAGTTACTAATGCTGGAAATTTGTCTTTACCCCAATCAGGGAAATTTTTTTGTATTTGTTTTGGTATGTATTCATTTTTTTTCTTCTTAATTAGGTTCGGTTTTTGCTAAATAGGTGTTAGTAATTATTTTACATGGTGTTCAAGGATTAGAACTTCCAGTCTTCCACGTTCACGACAAATGATTTGTAAGTTCTAATATTCTATGTGAGCGAAGAGTAATGGCATTCTCGTTGGCCTCTTCTATGTGTCAGTAAGTGTACAAGAATCACGCATGTAGATGTTCTGGGTTTGTGAGGCTATCTCAAGGAGGACAAACTATATAAACTTGAATAGTTAATTGTTTGATAGTTACCTCATAGTCCATATTTTGCATCTGTGTTCATTTATTGAGTTTTAGATAACCAGCTGGTCAACTTATGCATACGGTTTTTCGGTTTAGTTTCGATTGGGATTTTTCGTTTTTTTTTTCAGTTTTCCAAAAACGGAAATCATATATAAACCGTATGTATTTCGGTTTGGTTACGGTTTGGTATTTGTGTACAGTTTATCGGTTTTATAAAAGATGAAACCATATGAACATCATATGTATCTCGGTTCGGTTCGGTGTCGGTTTGGCTCCGGTTTTTTAGGTAATTCCACTTTTACAAAAAATAAATATAAGTTTGGTGCACAAATAAAAGTAAACGTAGAATCTATATATAATAGCAATCTCAACAAATGCCTTTTGCACATCTAAACGGTTGTGTTTTTTTAATCGCAACTTTTCGTTCATTTTTTTGACTAAAATGTATATTTACGGTTATTGTTTTTTAGAAAATTGCAATCCGAATGTCTTCTACGGTTGTGTCTCTTTATTGTAACTCTTCATAAACAGTTGTAACCACTTATTTGAATCATTGCATTATTTAGTTTATTTCACGAACAATTGCAACTTTTGGTTTATATATTTAGTTTAGTTCACGAACAATTGCAACCTTTGGTTTATTTTATAAATCGCTATAACATTTAATTATTTAACGTCGCGTCTCTCGGTATAACTTTTCATAAATTAATATTTTTAATTTTTAATTTTTAATTACCAGAATGAGATTGTGACCGTTTAATTGAACCGTTGAAACATTTAGTTTATATGGCGAATCATTGCAACTTTTTGTTTTGTTTTACGAACCGTTATAATCTTTAGTTTATTTAACGAACTTGACAAACCGTTACAACTTTTGGTATAGCGCAACACTTCGTTTTTTTTTTGAAAACTAAAAAATATAGATTTACGTTATGTTTTTTTGAGAAAGTTGCAATCCGAGTAAATATTTTCTACGGTTGCATCTTTTTATCGTAACTCTTACTATAACAGTTGCAACCGTTTATTTGAATCATTGCAATATTTAGATTATTTCACGAACAATTGCAACTTTAAGTTTATTTTATAAATCGTTATAGTATTTAATCATCTACATTCAGTGTAACTTTTCATAAATTATTATTTTTAATTACTAAAATGTATTTAAATGAGATTGTGACCGTTTAATTGAATTGTTGCAATATTTGATTTATTTGACGAATCATTGCAACTTTTGGTTTTGTTTTACGAACCATTGTAATCTTTTGTATATTTGATGAACCATTGCCAAATGTGGTATATTTGACGAACCATTGCAACTTTTGGTATATTTGATATCTACGGTCGCGTCTCTCAGTTAAAATTCGTCATTTTAAAAAAAATATATTTAATTACTAAAATATATTTAAATGAATTGTTGCTACTGCCGTTTAATTTAACGTAGTAGCATTTTTTTATTTGACGAATCAATGAACATTTTGGCTTATTTATCAAACCGTTGTAACATTTGGTTTATTTGATGTTTTTTGCATTTGTGAATAGTTTTTTAGTTTCAAATTAATAATTTTCTAATCCTAATATACTTAATAAATGCTTGTGAGGGTTTTCTTTATCATAATTTTCGTAATATATATATATATATATATTGATTTATTATTAAATATTATTTTTCAAAATTATTACAATTTATTATAATTTTTCGTTTGATATTTTTTTAAGCGATTTTTGAAATATTTTCCCCCGCGACATCGCGGGGGTCATGAGTCCTAGTATAAACAATATATCAGTCAATAAGTTAAACATGATTCAAATAATAGAATCCAAATCTAGTTTCATAAACCCAAACTAGATCATCACCCGTACTGTAGTACGGGTTGAATTTCATTTATTACAAAATTTATATATTATATAGTTATAGAATAAAATAGTGATATATTATAATAGTAAGTAAAAAAATATTAAGTTTTTTATGTCAGTCCATATATATAATATTAGAATGAATATATTTTTATTTTTCTGTAATCCTCAATTATGGATATCTTTTTTAAAGATATGAGAACGGAAATTAATATTATTTTCAAAAAAAAAAAATATTGTTTGAACAATGAGTTAATTTATGTTAACAACCACAAAATGAGAGTGCATATAATTTAGTTAGATCGAAAATCAAAATATCATAAATGAATCGCATCTAAAACGTAGATTATTTTGAATTAGTTACTTAGCTATTATTTTGAATTAATTTAGGAAATTATTTTTTCAAATTCTAATTCATTGGTTGTTGAAATAGAGATTTGTTTGAGATAATTACGGAATTTACCAATTATTCACATAATCGAATATGTTATGAACATATATTTGGTATATAATAATACCAAATTTGATCCGTGTGTGGAATCTATATTTTCATTTTACAATCCCTATGAAAATATTGTGGCACAATCTATTATTCATTATTTCCAAAATTGATTGCAGAATTAAATTTTCAAATATTTAGAAGTGTCAAACCTTATTTAACTCATCTCATCATAAAATCTTAAAATGTCGTCTATTATAAGGATCATAACTTTCTATCATATAATACATTACTTTTAACCCGCCGCCTACTATAAATATAATAAACATATCCTTTTAGAAAATCAAATTAGTATTTATAATTTTTTTATCTTTTTAATCTATTAAATATTTATGATATTCTTTAATATATTAAATTAAACTTTTTTAAAATGTTCCAAATTAAAATCTTTAAAAATTTTATTGTAGTATGTAAAATTATGAATTTAAAAATATATATATATATATATGAAATTAAATATAAATATTCAAATAGTTATAAGGATCATAACTTATT